TTGTAATTTGGTCTCTCAAAGATGCTGTTCTTCCTTCCTTCCTTCCCAGTTTTATTCTTCTAACACATAATATCCATAAACAAAACCAGAAATACTGAGAAATACTTTTTCTCCCAACTGAGGTGACAGAGGGTTCCCAGTACTCATGGGACTGGAACACAAAAATTATATTTAGCAAGAAGGAGATATTTTTGTCTTACAAAATTTACTGGGATTTTCTATGTCTTGCTTTTCTGTTTGGGGACAAAATAGAAAGCTTTTAAAGTTTGACCCAAAAACTAAAGGCAGGTAAACAAGTGATTCTGTCAGAGTGGTCTGGCTACTGGGATCTTCATGCTGGGGGTGGGGGATCCAGGTCTGAGTCAGAGATGTATTATTCCCTTGCATCCCACATGTTAGTGCCTGTTCCAGGGCAGGTCAGTCCCTTCATGGAGCTGCTCTGCTTTCTCTGGTCACTTAGAAAGGTTCTTGAACATGCTAAACAACCTATTCACCAGATACTACTTTCAGTCAGTCAATACTGAACTATTTCTATGAAGTAGAATAGCTATAAGATGCCTCCCTATTTCCACAATTGTTAGAATTTTGTATGCAGTTTAAGCTGGTATAGCTGCTCAATTCTACTTTTTTTTTTTTTATTCTACTCCCTGAGGCAGATATCTACCTCTGCTTTTATGCCAGCACTCACTCAAGCTTATCCCATTCACAGTAAGCAAGTCTGGGCAGCTAAACTCTTGGAAAATGATTCTCTTTTTTTTGGTAGAGCTAGATCTATGTGTGTATTGTCTCACTACGGAGTGAGCTCAAAGTGAGTGCCAACAGAGTAGAAGTGGCAGACGTGCAGATGGATGTCAAGACCATGGCAGTGCCACCTTGGATAATTTTTCACTGCTATGAAATGGCAGGCTCAGGCCTGGAGAGGTTTCTACTCCACCTAATCTTAAACATGAGGTAGGAGTGTAGAGGCGGTGTACTTTTTTCTCTCTCTGTAACAACAAGCAATTTGATCCAGAGCCTGAAGAGTTTTTCCCCAGTTACCAAAATCAGTACAAACTCATGATGACAAACCAGTTTTCTCACCACAATCCCTTTAATTCATCCTAAAATTCCTTGTCTAGTTGTAGTGGGAAAGAAAGAATCTGACTACTAGAATAATATACATAAAAGCCCCATAATAATTCTCCCGCAGCACTGTAGAAGCAGTGCTGTGTGACCTCTGCTCTTGCTGGTGACAGAAGCCATGCAATGCCCCAATAGCCGAATCCCAGTTCTGTCTCTGGAATTCTTATGGTCTGCAAGCATAAAGGCATTGGAAATGATCCTTGGTGGCCATGTTCTATTGACAAGGAACATGATCATGGTTCAGCTCCCTGTGGGCAAAGGGAGCTTGCATATATTCTGCAAAGACGGGTTTGTGTTGTTGCAGACTGTTTCCAGCTTCACTGTACTGCTGCTGGAAAAGATGTGACATGTTGGCTGACCTGGTCCATGTTGTGTTAAAAATGTGATGATTTATGAGAGTTTATAATTAGTTTATCACAATTATCTCATTTAAGTTACGCTTGAGGGATGAATTCCCAATTTTGGTTTTTATTTTGAGGCACTAGTAATTTTGAAAAATGAGTAATCATTTTAATTAAGATTTATTATGTGTATTTCAAATCAAAAGCAATCCTCAGAATAAAGCCATGCAAAGAGCTTGTTTTCGAATGAAATTTAAATGCATTTTCTAAATGTTGTCTTATAGCAATTTTTAGAAATTATATCTCCTCTTCTAGAAACTAAAAAGAGAAGAGGCAGCCCAGCAGATCTTATTCAGGAAAAATCCCCCAAACTCTTCTAGTCAGTGGGAGTTTCACACCATGAAAGGCCACAAGATGAGGTAAGAAGCACTTTTTAAATCTGAGCTAACCAAATTATTGAGAAGTGTGAAGCTACTAATAGATTTGAATGTTATACCTAGTGAAGGACTTTTTCATACCTCAGTTTCATTCAGGTTCCCTCTGTTCATGTGTTTATTTTAACAGTGATTTTAGTAAGTGGTATGACTGGGCAGTTTCTATTCCTGATTTTTGACTTTTTAATGGTAGACAGGCAGAAATTCTCATCCCTAGTATTTTTAGATCCTAAAGCCTAGGAACATATCCGTTCTTCTGAAGCTCCTTAACCTTTCATCAAAACACCTTAGTTATATCTGTTGGGACTGGCAGCCTTACCAAGAACTAAAATGTTCAGAAATTCTGTTTATGAGATCTTTATGTGCTTCTAACATTTAGATGCTCATAATCATCAGGGTTATCCTTTTACTTACTGACCATCTGCCAGAGACAAGATTTTAAAAATATATTAACAAAAATAAACTGTTTATTAGACTTAATATTACTGGATCCCTGTTTCCCAATAATTTCCTATTATTGTAAAATATTATTGGATTCCTGTTGTTCACTCCTTCAAGAAACTTTGCTTTCTGTTGATAGGCAAAATGACATTTTGGGATTGCAAGGGTTTTCTCTTCTCCACACTCATGAAAATCCATAGACATATAGGCCCTTTTCCACTGTCCAAAATGAACACAAATTTTAGACTTAGATTTTATCATCTAAAATTCCTGAGCTCCTGCTCATGGAGAGAATGTGTGTTGTGCTGAGGGCTGAGAGAATTTCTGATATTGTAGCTGTAAAACCTGCCTGGTCCAGATCCAGGCACTTTCTGTGAATAAAGGCCATTTCTGTGATCAGCATGATGAGAAATCCACTTGACTGAAAAACAGAAGGAGCAAGACTGAAACATGGTGAGGAAGAGGTCTACTTCTGGACCAGAGGACTGCTATGAAGAGAGGAACTCACCCACAGCTGGATGCTTCAGGAAATAGTGAACTGGAAAAGACTGTAAAATTTGGCACTGGAACTAGGAGGAGGGGTGGGTTACTAAGATTGTATAAGGAGCCAAATGGTGAAGAGCTTGAGGACCAAAAGGACACTGAGATATGAGCCACAGGTGGGGAAGTGAGAAGAATGTGTCTGGGAAATAGTAGGCTGAGGAAATAGTGTAGAATTACAAGTTGAAGCTGATAGAAAAAGAGTGCAACAAAGAGATTGATGGAGAACTTGGGGTTCAGGACATGTCCAGATGAAGCAGATCAGATTGGGAGACTAGAGGGCAAAGCCTAGACCTTGCACAGTAATGAAAATATAAATGGGCTGAAAAACCTGGTAAGCAGAGAATGGGTGGAATAGGTGGGCAGGCTGGGATTGGGATCTACATTGCCTATATGCTGAAGGATGCTTTATTAGAATTGTGTATGTTATTGCTTGCTATTCTGGGTGACCCTGTGAAATATGAGGTTTTGACAGTAATGACATTTTAATACCTACAGTGGCTATTTTTACTGAAAATCTATTGTTTTTTAAAATACTTCTCCCTGCAAATATGGTTGCTCTTAGACTTTGTAGGATGCAGATTGCACAAAAAGAGGGATAGGAAAAAAAAACACCTATTTATCTATCTCTGAAAGAACAAAAATTTGTTGTAGAGCAACAAAATTTAAAGATTTGATCAACAGCTATTCATGACTTCACCACTTGCAAATTGAAGCACCATTGGCAGCATAAAGAGGAGGTAACTTTAAGAAATGTGTTTCATAAGTAGAATGAAACTTGCTCAAATCAAGTCCTTTTGCAATCCAGGTCCCAGACTCTCCAGAGGCTTTTCCTGCTCTTCTGGTTAAATCAGGCTATAAAAGCAGTGCCCTCTGCTGCCCGGGACCGAGAGTGCTGGGCTAAGGGATGCTAACCCAAACTCACGTGAGCACCCTTCAGAGTGCTGTGCTACTTCACATGTATACTGCTTCTCTCTAATACATGTGTTTGCAGGAATTCAAACGAGCTGGATTCCCTTTTGCTGCCAGAGGTGACTATTTGTATTCATTGTTGTAGTACTTCCATTCTTTGAGCTCAGATCAAATGTGATCAAAGGGTTTTTACATGGTCCTTGCTTATCTGAAACGGAGGTTTCATAAGCAGCATAAAGAAATAGTTTGCTCTGCACTGGTAGACCAATGGCCTCCATGAACTTTGCAAAGTGAAATTTCACGCTGTGTTTCTCTTCCAATGTACCTTCTGTGACAGCTTTCGATGATCTCTGCACAACGGCTGCCACACCGGAGCTGGAAGGACTGATCTCATCATGAAAGACCAGCTTTTTATGAGTTCAGCTCCTTCCAGGGCTTTGGCTCTGGTTACTGGGAAGCAGAAGTTGTGCTAGAACCTCGGCTCTGATATGGTCAGGACAAATCAGCTGAGTTGGTGGGAAGTGTCTTGTCATTGTAGGGGTTTGGACCTTTGTACAATGGGCAAGACTGAGAGGAAGCTATGGAATGTTGTGGAAGGCTCTAGAGTGCTTAGGGGGAGCTGGAGATCACATAAGAGAAAGGTCATGGGGAAAAAGTATAATTTGAGCATAGTTAGGCATAAAAACTCTCAGGAAGTATCTTACTGATGGCCTATGCCCATCCAGAGTTTGGAACACCAGCAATAATATTTGAGGACATCTTATGTTCAGACATCAATGTTCTGAGATCAGTGAATTACTCTGCTATTCTCAGGGCTTTGAAAGACATGTAAACTCAAATCAAAATCCCATCTGAGTAAAATGCAGATGACAATTCTTTTTCCTGAGCTCTTTACTATGTTCCCCAGTTGTATTTACTTCCTGCCCTGAATTATATAGCACGGCTATATGTGAAATGACATCCTTGCCTGTGAAGAACCCATTTGTGTCAGACTTGCTGACTATCTTCATGTAAGGAGAAGGGATTGTGACTGCCCAGCCCTAGTATTGATATGGTTGCTGTAGGATGCTCCTGAATGTGAAGAGATGCAGAACTGTTGGCCCTCAGGACTGTGGTGATCTGCTCCTGAGAATGTCATGGATCTTCCCAGTCCTGGTCAGAGGTGCCTGTACTGTCTCTTCTGCAGAACTGCTAGCTTCTGCTTTCAGAAGAATGGTTAGCTGACAGGCACCAGATGTATTCTTTTGAGGTGAAATTAAATGTATTTCTTGAGACCAACAATATTTTAAATGTATTATCTGCATAATGGCCATTTTTTCCAAATAGAAGTGAGATACTATTGATTACTACAAATAATGACATTTTTTAGGCTATTGCATGCTTTCCCAATGCAGTTTTCTAGTGGTTCTCTTATAAATTACAACTGATCTTTTGGAGAAGGAAAGAGGACATGGGTGGAATTTGAGCTGGAACTATGGTCTCATTCTCTGTTAAATCTCCATGCTCAATTTCCAGTGATGCCACTCAGCAGGACTGCCTACTTTTAGCAGACACATGGCTTCGAACCTGTACTGACCTGCCAGGCTCTGTGCACAGCAGTGTCTTTGATACAAGCAACTCCTAGCACAGGCTCATTGTTTCCAGCTCCAGGGAGAATCAGAAATTGCACATTTCAGAGCTGCCTAAGTGCCAGTGTCAGGATGCCAGACTGACAGTGATGATTATGCCCCAAGGAAACGAAGACAGATAGGTTTGACATTGCAGCAGACTGTGGCTGTCTAGTTTCATATGCTCAGTTTACGGCCAAGGGGCAATCAATTTTGGCCAAGGCAATTAATTTATTTAAATCAAACTTGACATTTGGATAAAATTGTTCTGTTGGAGTCCTCTCCACAAGGAAAGGTGCCTGGGAAAGCACATTGTATTACCCCAACACAGCTGGTCTCAGTAATTAGGACCAGATGGTGCAGCAGGATGCATGCACCCTTAGAGGACAAGTGCTTACTGCTTCCAGCTTGATCTACGATAGAAGGAGGGACTATCTCATAGCTGTACACACAGGAGGTGAGTAGTTGGAGAACGAGTTTGGGAGAAAACCTCAGTTAGATTTGAAAATGTAGGGATAGGTAGCTGCTCCTTTCTCTGCCTGGCGGCAGTGGCAAGAGAGCAGGAGTGAGGGCAGATTTATGGGATGTATGTACATTTCTGAGATATGGGACCAGGGTCTTCTGCTAGACCTTTGTTGTTGAGGGATGTAGGCCAAAAAGGACTACCTCACTGAAAGTCTCTGTTGCTTATCAGCTCTTTAAAGTAAAAAGCAAACAAAAAGTCTGGATATTTTAGAAAAAATATTTGTAGCTACTTCTTCAGCTATAAAATCCTGTTTTCCGTGCAGGATTGTGTAACAGGCTTCAGAAGAGCTCTCTGTGAAGGCCAGGAATGGGATTACCCTGATGCTGGGATGTTCCATAACAAAATGCTCACAGGCTCCCTTATTCTCAAGAAACCGCTTAGTGCAGTCTGCCCAGTTTGCCAACACTGCTGGGTGATCCTGCATCACATTCCTCTTTTTTCCATCTTCCCCACTGTCTTCTTGTTCCCCCTTTTTCCTTCACTGTCTTCCCCAAACCCACACTGATAAGGCCCTTTTCCCACCATGCTAATACTCTGCTGTATAAGTCATTAAGACTGAAAGCAGCGCCACAAGTCAAGGTGAGAAGGCATGGATCAGAGCTACAGCTTAGTCCAGCTGTTCTTCCCAAAAGAAGTATTCTCGCTGTGACACCACTAACTAGTTTTCAGGGAAGGCATGGGGAATACCCTGCGTGGGAACCTCCTTACCTTTGGATCAATAATTCATCTAATGTTGTTGGATCACAGTTTGCTGGAGATGGTGAACCCGTATCCGATAAAACATTCAGAGGCTCTTTGATGGGCTCATAGTTTTTGAGTGAACCTGTGATATAAGAGAAAGCCAAGAGGGTGTTAAAACAGTAATTTTCCTAATTTACCTTTACTGTATATAGTGGTTTGCTAACACCAAAGGCAACAGGAAAACCACAAGACATAAAGGTGGTTACATTTTAGCTTTGATTTTCAAACAAGATCGAAGTGTCATCCGCTTGCGTAATGCAAATGCAGTTGAGAAAAGGTGAAGTTGGATTTAGGGTATCAGTTCTTATGTACGGGAGTAGCATTCTCACCACTGCACACTGGGTCCCAACATGAGTGGTTTTCAGTGCAATTATTTAGGCAGAAAATGTTCAGCTATGTGTGCCTGTGCATGCCAATATTTGGTTTGCCAAATCAAGGCTTCATTACTGTTCTGCTTTACTGCATCTGCATTCTGAAGATGTTCAGTTTACTAGATAAATCAAGGCTAGATTTGGTGAGAGAGGAGCTTTACTTTTAATTGCTTCTCCAATTCCCCTCTGATGAACTACTGGTCCTTTCACAGGTGAGTCAAAGTTGCATTAAGTCCAAGGCTCACTACTGCAATAGTTGGCAGGAGAGGATGCATCTCACTTTTCAAATGAAATCTCCCATTGTTTGAGGCTTGTTGATAAACGGCCTTGCTGGTTTTTTTATTAGAAATATTTTGGTCTGTCATAATTCTGTTTTTCTTTCACACTGGTGACAGCACAGTCAGGTCAGTGCTCTGCCTGAATCAGGGTTCTGATGCACCTTTTTAATCAATTTTCAGAGGTAGGAGATGACATCCAGAGTTTTAAGACTTCCTAAAATAGAGCCAAGGCCTTATGAAACAGTAGTTCGAGTTATTCACTTTGGATAGTTTAAACACTTTATCCTTCTATTAGAGAAGATTGCTTAAAAAAACCAAAACAACCCAACAGCTCTTTTTCCAGTAAGGAAAAGCATCTATTATGTTTTACAGTTTCTGGGCTATAAGCCGAAGTTGGGCTGGTGCAAAGGGTGCCGATATGGAAGCCTTTCCTCAGCTGGATTTAGATAATTTTAAATTGTTTTTCTGTGATCTCATTTCTTGAGTCTTTATTTTTCTCATTTTGTATCCTACTCTGTCTTTCCTGTCTCTTCTTGTCGTCTTGCCTTCCCCTCTCCTCCCCTCCAGCTGTTCCCTAAGCAAAATGAGAACAGGTTAACATTTGAGCTTGAGTCACATTCTTGGATAGCTGCTGTCCAAATGGGTTGGAAGGCAATATAAAATAGCTCACCCATCCCTTGCTTCCATGCATGTCAGCAAATGCTGTCAGAAGTACAAATGAGGCTGGTTGAGAAGCACCCACTGTCTAGTTTCAGGGAGAGGGAATGGATTCAGGGAAGAAAAGAGAGAGAGCAGAAATGCTGCTTACACAATCCTAGCTGAATTTAAAGGCTGTAGCTCTGAGGAGGACTTGCTACAGTTACCTCAGAGAAAGAACTATTGCTCCTAGTCCAGGTCTTGCTGTACAGACTGGAGAAGAGACATGTTCCCCAGTGTGCCCTGCTGAACAATTGCAGGCATGGAAGGAAAAGCCCTGTTTGGAACCAATCCTGTTTCAGAAGTGGTAACACAGGGAGGAGAGTGGCAGAGAAGCACAGGTCAGCATTGTGGATGCTCTAATGAGTTGCTAAGAGAGAAGCCATTCTCTTAACTTGTCCTTCCTCAATGACACTTGCCAAGACATAAGGGATGTCCTCCTCTGCCAACATCCTGATGCCATGATGCTGCAGGTCTATGAAGAAGGTTAGTCTTTCTGTGCTGCTGCTGCTGCACTGCCAGCTGCAGATCTCAGGGGACAGTGTGTGGACATTGTGACACCCGGAAACAGGAGGGAGGCCGGGTCTGTGCTATGCTGCCTCTGCAGCAGTGCTCTGGGAAGTGAGGAGAGGATGGCTCTGCTCTAGTCCTGTCTTCACCCACAGGATGGAGGGCAGCTCTGCTCTGAGATAGGCAACACCCAGTTTATCCACAAACTTCATTGCAACAGTAGCAGAATATTAAACAGGATGTCTTTGCTGCTGTCTGCTTGGAAACTTGGAGAAAGGAGGGAATTTTCCTTCTGTCCATGCCACAGGGTTGAATGGACCTTTATACTGGAATAGCATGGCTCCCTTGGTGAGGCAGGCAGGACACACCTAATTTCTGTTTTTTTTTTTTTTTTTTTTTTTTTTTTTTTTTTTGAGGAACTTGATCTACTTTCAGGAGCTGAAGAGGGGGCTTTACTGTTACATAACAAAGAAATAGCTTTCAGTGGTTTGCACAGCAGTGGAACATAAGCAGTGGTGTATCTTCTTGATTCATACAGCTATCCAAAGTTCATAGTCCAGAGCATTGATTCTGTTAGATTATAGCCTGAAAATAGGATAAGGTAACATTGCTGTGAAGGAGTTTAAAAATTCAGTTTCTCGAAGTATCTGGAAGATGGAAGCAAAGGGCATTTTCTATGTTCCCAGTTCCAGGTCTCTCTCATTTCAGACTGAGATTAAGACCACTTCAATTTTCTTCATGCAGCCCTGTTTCCAGTGCTTCTCAGTGTGTTGCAGTAGCTCATTTCCTGGCACTCTCTTCATTTCTCCTATCTTTCCCTTGCTTCTTTCACAGACAGCTGCTCAGACAAGGTTCCAGCTCTGGCACCTGAAAGGTCCCTGATTCCAGCCTGGCCTTGCAGTAATGCTCGGGGCTATTCATACTCAAGGAAAGTCAACTCATTCCTTTTCTACCGAAGCCACAGCTGAGTGCATGTATGCTATGGATGATGCTCCTGTTATTTCAGGTTCCTTGTTTAAAGGGAGACTAGGTGTTTCTCACAGCTTCTTCAGTGCAAAGTAGCAGTAACTGCACTTTCACAAAGACTTGTTCGTACCTCTGAAGGAGCCATTGAAATTTCCTCTGGTTTTGCTGACTGTTTTCTGTACTTTTGGATATGTCATTTCTGTATGCTAAAGAAGCTCCTGCTTCATTGACAGCTTCATGTCTTTCTCTAAGTTATTTTTCTCTTACAGAGCAGAGGAGTGCAAGTGCAGAGTCCCACATATGTTTAGATTCTCTAATGATTACTTGAAAAATGCAACCATTTTACATTTCCAAGCTGAAAAAAGAAGGATGGCACTCCTCTGCCTGCTGTGCTGTAGGGCAGGGGTGTTCTGTTATGTGCTGACTGCTGAGCTGCTTTCTGTCTTGCTGTCCTTCTGTTCTAATGACTTCTCTAGTTCCCAATCTCACTGGAAAAAGAAGCATAATGCTGTTTGGGTCAGTACTCACCTGTAGCATGCTGCACGTGAATTGTCTCTCTTGAAGTCTTTCTTTTCCCTCTTTTTGGAAGCCTCATGGATCGGTAGTACCTGGAATTTCTTTGAATAGCAATGTACTGTGTGTGCAACTCCCCCTCGTGCGTCACTGGGTTAGCACCTGCTGACTCTTCCTCACTTTCAGAGACCGAACCTGACTCTCTCAGCACGTGCTGAGAATGGCCCTGCCAGAGCCCACCAGTGGAGAGCCTGTGGGTGGCTTCTCTCCCAGGCTCATCCATGGCTTCCAGAACTTGTCTCTATGGCAACTGAGACAATGGATCAGCAGCAGAGCAGCAGAAGACAGGTAGCTTCCAAAACTCCATCAGCTTTATCTGAATTAGAGCTGGAGACAGACAAAACAGAAAGGAACAGGAGAAGTGAGGACAAAGTTCTGGTTAGTTCAGAGGCCATAGTCCATCATCTGATTAGGATAACAGGGACTACACAGGACTTTTTATCGGAGATTATTCTGACATCATCACCTTACAAGCCTTATTCTAATATCCTGAACATTGCTTTGATATGCTCATGGTTGTCATTCCATGACATATGACAGATGTTACTGGAAGAAAGTTGTATTTTGGTTTGGTATTACTGGTTGATTTAGAGTGTATAACAGATAGTGCCCATGTCCTTTTTTATGAGGGTGAAAATGTTACTGAATAGAGGGTAAAAGCTGAAGAGAAAGCTCCATAAATCTGTCTATTACCTGTATATTTCTCCATGTAATAGAAGAATTAATGCCTTTACGGGGCTGGGTGCCTTCTCATACTTATCAACAGCACTCACTCCTGCCATGCAGGTAAGTGAAGAAAAATCTATAACTGTAGAGCATGAAGGTAGAACAGACAAGATTATATAGTGCAGATGCTTGATTTGCTTTCTCAGAGTTCCCCTCCAGTGCCAGTGTACCACCTCATTGACACAGTGCCTTCAGCACAAAAATCCTCTGCTCTGTGTGTCAGTATGTGGATTATACCAGGACTCCCAAGAATTTTTAGGAGGCACATTACAACAGCAAAACATCAGTTGATCCTTCAGTCTTTGTGGGGCTGGGTAAAATGTGAACAGATTACTTAAGCATTCTCTGGTCCTTTACGGAATGCTTTCAGCTGTCAAAGTCTTCCTGAATATATAATATGATTTTGTGACTGATGGAGCTGTCACGAGTAATAGAAAGAGATGCTGTATAGAAAATGTGAATATAAAATTGACAGCAGACTGAGAGAAGGGCATAAAACTGTGCTGTGGATTAGTTAGATGCTGTTTTAAGAAGTCACATGTATCATTGGTTTGTTATGTTACAGTATATCCAAGGCACAAGACAGCTTAGAAAGTAGGTGTTTCTATTTTTTATGGGTCTTCTGCAATCTCTGTGAACTCATGTGTTCCATAAACATTTCCCATGCTTGCCCCTGGGGTCACTCTAGCAGACCCTGGGATGTCAGGGACAGTTGGGCCATCATCTGTGAATTCTCTGCTTTCCAATATTTTTTTAAGGCACTATGATTTATCCTTATAAAGAGAAGGTCACTCCTTGAAATCATGCACTGGGCAAGAGCTTCTTGGCTCTACAGAGGAGAAGGTCTGCTTTCTTCTTTCATAACCTAACCACAGCATGCAGCTCTAAATTTGGATCCTGACTTCAGTTCTGCCTTTTGGACTGTTTGGAACTATGGCAGTTTCTCTGGGACTGTTTCCAGAGTTAATGGAAGTGTATGAAGGACGTATTTGTTGTTGGTGGTGTTAAGTTTGGTTTGTAAACTACTCTGAGGTACAGAGTTTCACTAAGCCTGTTTCTTTTTCTGTGGGTGTGTGGAACAACGGAATAAAAACAGCTGCTGTTGGAGATAGTTTGAAAAGAAAGAAGAGGCTATTTCTTTTCCTCTGCCTTTCTCTGTCCCAAGACTAGAGCCCCGAAGGCTTGATCCTTGCAACTGTGATGGAAGCATGTCTTCTAAGTGGACTACAATTAATATTACAGCTGTAATCCTGCTTAACCCCAAACTCTAACAATTGTTAAAATTTTATTTATTTCTCTTCTATAGGTTATTTTATGCCTTGGCACTCGAGGAGATGAACCTATAACAATCTCCTCTACATCAAAGTTCCTCTGTGCTTCAAGTGGCCACCCCTTGTCCATGTGACTCTTACTGGGGCCTCTCTCATGACTTTTGCAAAGGTGACGTAACTTGCAATGCTTTGCAAATTGCTGCTGGTGTTTTATTGAAAAAGTGAGTAAAGTTTTCACAGGAGCTGCTCACCAGTCAGGAGTAGTTTCAAAACCATTAAATGTCCAAAGGGATAATTAGGCAAAGAGATGCACACGTGTGCATGGAGAAGACTGTTTTCCCCTTTCACCCACCCAGTGAGTATGAGAGTACATGGATGTCATTGTTGAGCTTTTACAAAGTTCCTTGGCAGAGAAGGAGCCCCCTGCATGGCCAGGTGACACTCAGCTGGGTTACCCAAAGACTTATCTATGTGTTCAGTACCCCTGGCAAACCTGTGTGCTTCTCTTTGCCAGATACTCCTTCTTTTGCTCATCAGAGGAGTGAAGGGTGCCTGTCCTGAAAAGTTAACTTTTTTCCAGGTTATCAAACAGTGTCTAACAAACAAGATCCTTGACCAGAAACAAAGATAGCCATGGATGAGAGACTTTAATGTTTCCTAGGAGAGGCAGAGGGGCACTCATTTAGTGTGGTGGTTATAAACAACACATACTGTTTTTTACTTTCTTCAATGAAGAATTCAAGAACAGAATGCATTTCTGAAGTCAATACTTCTGATTTCAAAATTGATACTCTAAGAAAGTATTGAGAAACCATTTACTGATATGTCAATCAAATAGTCCTGACTTTTCCAGTAATTTAGGTGTATTAAAAAACTAGGGATATGTTTGAAGGATACATTCAAATTTAGTATTACTTTTTTCTGGTAGCAGTCAAACTGTTCTGTGACAGAGAATAGCTCAAGCATGTGTGGACCTTAACTACCCCTGTCTGAGTGTTTGTAGAGAATTTTTGAAGAAGGTATTCATCTCTGATAGTCAGAGGTAGATGAGTGCCAGGTCTTTTGTCAGGAGTACCCCCTCCCAAGTACATTCACATGCCACTTTGAAATCACATGGCTTGAGTCACCACCCACCTGAATGTGCTTTGCAGGCAAACACTTCCCTGGAGCTCATGGAGACCAAAGTAGCAGTCTGTAGGGAAAAGGGAAAGATGACAGCAGTGAAGCCAACAAATGATGCACATACAGCAACACTAGAAATATGCATTTTGACTCACACATAATCCAGCCTCCAGGAATTTGACTGTATAGAAATTTTACTTGCTTATGTAAAAACTGGCATTTACCAGCAAATGCCATGAACAAGAACAGCTGAACTCAGGGATGTTGGGTAAGATGTTAATACAAGCTGTAAAAGGGACTGAGGTTCCTAGAGTAGTGTGGACATGGACGCATGGATGTGTGTAGGAAACAGGGAGCACTGCTACCTCTGTGAGGGTGGGAACTAGAGGTGTTTTCCAGGCATGGGCTGGTTGTGGATGTGACTAGTGTATAAAGAGAGTGGACTTAGAGGAATTTGAAGGGTATCAGATGTATCAAAGGTGTATTAGGTGTAACTTCTGTTAACCAGGTAGGGCTAATCAAAGATATGGATGCTTTCAGTAGCAGAAGCTGCAGACTGAAAGCTGAGCTTGCAGCCGTGTAGACCTGCAGGTATTTCAAGTGGGTTTATTATGGGCAGTTTGATGTGGGAGTCTGGAGCAGGAGGTACATTCTGGCACCAGTTGAGCATCTCTCCCTCATCCCACGATGTGCCAGGCAGGCACAGCTAAACGAGTCATGGTAGAGGCAGACTGTGTGGTCTGTCACTGGTGGCAGCCCCGGTGGGCACTGGTAGCAAAGGGAGCTCCTGGGGGCTGGCAGCCTTGGAAAGCCACCTGGCTGCCTCAGCTGTTGCTGAAACAGGAGGGGTGCAAGTTGTGTCTGAGCTGCTGGAAAGAGCCACCTCCTTCCCTGCCAGAACTACTGCTCCACACACCCTGGCCCCTCTCTCAGTGGCAGTTTTCCAGAGCTCCAGCACAGCAGAGCAGGCAGTTGGATCATGGATTCTTTGCCTCCACTTTGTTGTCCTGGATAATGGACTATTTTAGTGTGCCTGGTGCTGGCCCTGATCTGACAGCCTGTGTCTCTGGGAGGATTTTTTCTGCACCCTCTCTTCCACTGCCACAAGGCAATAATTTATGTGGGATTTACTTGGCTTCCTATTCCCAGACTTCCCTGTGATAGAAGGGGTGCAGCAGGATGAGACTGGTGGCTCTTCTTGCTGGTGATTCCAGTCCTTCAATAAATTTGTAATTTCTCTTTAAAGTGGGAAGGTGTGTTGGCTGACTGAAAAGTGTTAAGCGCTGTAATAAGGAAGTTAACACAAGGATTTTGAAATTAAAACTGCTCAATTTGCTGATATTATACAACACTGTTGCCCAGCCTGGAAGAGTAATGAAGATTGCTCAATTAATACTAGAGACAGACTGAAATCTCCAGCTGTGTAATTCAGGGATGTTTCAAAGCAGAAAATAACAGGTATGAATACAACTTGACTGAATGGTTTGCCTATATAGGGACATGCAGTCACAGAAGAATTGCCCTTGTCTGACTGTGTCCCTACCACCACCAGGAATGAAGATAAAAGTATTTATGTGTCTGAGTGTCCACTCAAAATATGCAGGTGGCTGCTTTCATCACACAGGGCAGTGAACGCCTACTCTGCATTATCTAGTGCTGTGTTAGTTTTGCCATCAGCCCAAATCCATCCACGGCTGGATGCCCCTTTAAATAATGTCTAGCTCCACATCATTTTGTTTTGGGGCTCAATGCAGAAATTGCTGTCTTGGCTGTAGTGTGTTTGTGCTGTAGAAAGGCAGAAAATCTTATCATATTTTCTTCCTTTTTATGTGTTGAAGTCGTCTCAAGTGTAAAAACCCTATTAATGACTCATCTGGAAGGTTTTGTGTGCTGAATATAGGGATGCACCTTTCATGTATATTTGATGAACCAGATAGAGCTCTTTTAGGACAAAATTTTGACTTCAAGCCCTTATAGATAATATGGCTCCTTTAATATTTATTTTTTAAATGTACATGCAAATGATAATTTAGCTGCATCTTAATGGTTTCATTTTAAATTGCTTTTCTTAAAGTCTTGTGCAAACCAAAACCAAACTTCTGTCTCCCATCAGCAGCAGTCTCCATTACATTCCTGCTCGTGTGTTAGGCAGTGACTTTTATCCATCTTACTTGGTTTTAATTGGAGTGGAATGTCTTCTCTAAACTCTTTCACTCTGCATGATAATGAGGCAAACCCTGCTCTGCTGGTATGCAGCACAGTCCAAAATCCAGCAGCAGGCCTTACTCATCGACAGCCGCTCTTGCTCATGCAGGTGCCAAACCCTTAAGGAGTGCCACATGCAAGAGGATCCTGGCAGAGGCTCTGGGACTCTGCCCAAGCTCAGGCCTGCATGTTCACTGGGAGATATTTCTGTCTGAGTCAGGGGAATACTAACACCCACAGACTCAGCCCTAGGCTCTGGCAGATTTAGCTCTCAGCAGATGCAGCTATGAATTCATTTAGCCTCCTCAGTGGCTGAGGTGAATACTTGGAGCCAGTGTGAGTGTGGTGCTCTCACGTGTCCAGCTGAGCCACCCCGCTCCAGGGGGACTGACTTTCAGCAGAAGGATGTACGGGCGTGTTAACATCTTACCCTAAAGCTCTCACAGCCCTCAACTGCCTGACTACACAAATATCTGTATTTTCATTGTTCCTGGTTGGGATCACCATCCTTGGAAATGTTTATAATCCTGACGCTTTCTATTATGTGGAGGCAAAAGACAGTTAAGCGCATGTCCCTGTCCAGAGCAACGTACATGACAAAGGAATTTCAACTATTTAGGTGCAAGGCCAAGGTATTATTTGATTAAGGCACAGAGGTGGAGACAAACAGGTGGAGCATGAGAACAGACTGACCAGAGAGTAACATATGGACCAAAGAGGTTCATAGCAGAAGCCAGAGAAAATTAGACCATAAGTTTGGGAATGCTGGCTGAAAGAATATCAAATAGTTTGACCCCACATGTTTCCATAAAATAAACATTTTGAGCTCATTTTGTAAATAAGATTGAATTCTGTAACCAGCCTTAACAGAATCAAACTACAGCCACTCTAATTGTGAGATAGTCTTTCAGCTGAGGAAGCTAACATAATGGTTCTATTGCCATGATTCAGTGCTGGTACCTTATTTATAGCAAGCAAAACCAAGACAGAATTATATAGTTCATTACACTTTTGTGACAAGAAAACCCTTTTTGTCTTGCACATGTTACAGAGAACCTGTTTTAGAAACACTTCAGGGACTAAATATAAATACATTGGACCTATATAATAAATCCTCCAAACCATGTGCTTTCGAAACCCTGAGACCAAGTGAATGGGGATGGAGAGAGAAACCAGTACATTTAAAGTGGCTAAAAATTACTCAGATGTTCTCTGACTAGCTCTAAAACTGTTTCTGGAATTAAATCTGATTTTGTGGGTAGCTCTATGCATAAAGGTAAGCCATGTGTCCATACGACCACCAAATAAGTGTGTTCTACAAATGTTACAACACATGACAGAAGAGGATACATGCCTTCATACAATTCCCTCTGCATGAAACATGAACTATTTCACTACTTCATGTAAATTAACTAATATATATATATCAATATATACTTAGTAAATAACAGTAAAAAGCTGCGTATTTTTCTGCTGCAGCATGGTTTATGTTTTTTACTGTTTACTGATTCTTTATGATTCAAAAACAAGTATCTAAAAGGATGTGCTTTCTTATATGCCACTAATTGTCATCCCTGCTCAATCCATGCAACTCAGTGAGTGGTCCAGCCCTATCCCATTGAATTCCACGCTTCGTTCCCTGGGCCTCATGCAGCAGATGTAGCCAAAGACAATAGCTAAGGTGTTAAAGAATTTCACCTCTGGAGCTGTACTATGTATATGTACATATATAAACACACACATTCTCTATAGCTGTGTAGAAGGAGTCAACCTCATTTTTAAATCATACAGAAGAGCACAAGTGGAAATCTATAAACTTTTCTGCTTTTTATTATAAAACTAATAAACCAAAAAAATCTGATCTTATTTCTATTCATTTCCTTAAATTATTACACATGCAATAGCGAAAACGCATCTTTGCTTGAAGATTTTGAGAGAGTCCTGAGAAGTAAAATGTATAAAACTCATCCTTGTTCTTCTGACATCACTGATATCTCTCTACTTCTGCTAGAGGAACCCTCCCTTTCCTTCTTCCTGCTGTTTATGAAATGTTCTTGCCATTGATGCCATCCCATTCCTTATTTCTACTGAGAAGATACTAGTGAAGTTGTTGCTAAGTAGCTGTGGTTGAAAACTCTTGAGGTTTTCCAGGCTTATCTCTGGAAGGTAAGTGAATAACTAAAAAACAAATCACTGCATCTCCTAGGCTGGGGGGAGTACAAAATTATCAGCTCAGGGCTTAGGGGCAAATCACAGGATGTAGCCTCAAAGCAGTAGATACCCATGTACTCTGCGAGTACGTACACAGGAAGGCTCTCAGCAGTCTGCCTGGTAATCTCTTCTGTTTTGCAGGATTGCATGTGGGAGTTGCGAGTTCTTGTTCCTTTTTGTTTGTTCTGTTTGGGCTGTGCGGAGCCTTCTAGCCACAGAATGTATGCAATGTAGAACTTATTTTAAAAACTTGAAGGATTAAGGTATGGAAGCTTTAGCCTCTGATGAAATTATTTAGTCAAAAACAGAGTACGAGAAATAATATCCAGCGCATAATGCCTTGCTGAAAGCAGAGAGGTTTAGTAATGCTAGGACATTTGGAAAAGGAGGATTAATAGATGTCTTGGTTGAAGCTTTTCAAGACAGACTCATTAATAAGCAGACAGGCCAAGTGTCCCTTGGGCAGACAAGACCTGTGCTGCTCTTGGGGAAAAATATAATGATGCCCACTTCTATTTCTAGATTTACTGGTTGTGTATTAGACACTTGTTAGGAAGAAATGAGCATGGGTGGTTTGAACTGCAGAAAGGTAAGAATTAATAGGATTTTTCATTTGAAAGCTTCCATATAGAAGCAGGGAAAGAGAAGGCTAATTTTGTTCATCAAGAAATAGCAGAGTTGTCACTTTTTCCTCCCTCAGTGTTAATTAGGTGGAGGGTCCAAGGAGTGCCTGTTTGGTGAATCTGCTTGCAAATGTGTAGCTACAAGAGAGCCAGAAGTCACTCAGATATCAGAATCCTATTAGGCTGGTTACTGCTAGTTTGAAAAGCCAGGCAGGTTTGGAGTGCTGCTATGCCATGCTATCCTTGTCAACTGCATCAAGCTAATTTCAGCTGATTTCAAACATGACATAAGATGATTCTATTCTTAACAGCCTGTTACTCTGACTGCACGGGACTTCAGTAACTCAGGAAAAGCACTTGATACACAACTCTGGATACTCATTAGCAAACAGCATTGACCGATGCAAAGTTCCTCTTCAGAATAGCTGTCTTTAGATCCTGATGGGAAGCAAAGCTTGCTGGACTGCAGCTCCTAATGCAGAGCAGCCTCTTCTCTCCCAGTACTAGGGGACTAGCCCAGGGTTTAGGCAATCAATCCCAAGCCTTCCCCACTTGCCTCTAATTTGCCAGCTGCAGCCCTAGCCAGCATGGCACTGTAGAAAACCAGGGATCTATGCAGTGCTCTGGCTGCATGTATATGCCCAGGGAGTCTCCATCTTCTTGTCAAATTAGTGCCATGCTGTCTGCAACTGCAATTCTGTAGCTCACTTTACCCGAGCACTGGAAAAGGTTGGCAAAACTTTCCCTTCTGGATCTTTCCTTCTAACAGCAGATTTTACCCTCCTCTTCATTCCCAGTTTTTAAGCACAGAAAGAGGAAGGCTGGGACGAGGGTAGTTAATCTCATGGCTGTGGCACAGGATCAGGTTCTGGGAGAGTAGATGTATTTTCTTAGCTCTACTGCAGTTCCCTGGGAAATCTTGAGCACGTCAGTCATAGTTCTCCATCTCTAGACTAGGAATAGTATATTACAGTTTGTGACTACTCCCGCATTTTTCTATAGTCTTTTTTCTTCTGAGTTACTTAAGCAGGAACTCAATGTAAGTGCAAGAGCATGACATGAGATAACCTGAAGTGCTCAAAAGAACTCTGGAACATACTGTAATTTAATGAAAAAATGAACTAGTTTGAATATTCTCTTGGTTTTGGTTATTTTTCATTTGATGTTTTCTACATTTCAGTCCCCTAGTGAAAAGCAAGCATCTAGTCTAGATTTCTAGTTCCTCAGTGGCCCTGTTGTTCTTTTTAAGTTTTATTTGAGCTGACTGCAACTGCTCCTAAAAAGGGTTCTTGTTTTAGGAATTGCTCCCTTTTGGAAAAGCAAAGTCCAAGTTTTGCAGATTGAGTAACCTGCTTCACCTGTTTTATCATAGACATCTGTTTCCAAGATGATTTCATATAGGAAAGAGAAGGCAAGAGGGAGATGAGACTCCAGATTGTTCCAGGATTTTACTGAGTCTTGTCAGTTTTCCTTATTTTAGATATGATGGGGCAGTTTCCATGGGGTGCTGCTTGGAAACATGCATTATTTCCTCCAATAACTATTTGGGGGAAAAATTATAATTGCCTATAGAAATCACAGAACAAGCTACTTTCAAAAGGAAAATCTGAGTGAAATCCCCAGGCACTGGCCACATACTCAGGGACAGATGAAGGTAATTATATTGTTAAAGCATTTTACATTGTCTTGCAAATGTCCTGGCCAAAATATAGCAATGTGGAACAATGGGTTCTTTGGATTCTTCTGGTCTGGCAGTTACTGTGGTGTTTCACAGATCTGTATTTAGAGTTTTTCATAAAGTAGGTTCAAGTTAACAGTCCCAATTTGTATCTGTAGAAAATCAGCCCTGAATAAAATACCTGTCTGTCTCTTAAAATGGATACCAGCCAATTAGTTCTTCTTGCAGGTTCAGCAAAATATTCTAAATAGTTTTCATTATTTTAGTGCAATTTCCTACTTTCAGCTAGGTTCTAGAAGTGACAGCTCCACTATAAGGATCGAATCTGTTGATAGTTTAAGATCAGAAGATCTATCTTGTTCTTATGAAATTTGAGTCCTTGTTTACTTTGTGCATTTAAAAATATACATAATTGCTGGGAGAGAGTTCACAGCTACACTGGATTCACAGCAATTGGCCTCCTGAGAGTGAAAGGAAAAATTGGCTCAGGGGAAGGATCAGCCTGGAGGTAAGAGGAAAACAGGCTGTTTTTCATATTTCCTGTCTTTATTTATATATATTTTTTAAAGCAAGATCACACATAAACTGTTTGACAGGAAAAATCACAACTTGTGCTGCCCCTGGAAAAATACACACATCTTGGTTGGTTTGGGAATGTTTGCTGTTCACTTGGTCATATGAATGCCATTCTTTGCAGTCTAGGTCTCCCCTCTGACTAGGCTTCCTGCCTGTGGGTGGTGGGTTTTATGCCTACCAGGTTGTCCCAGTGGTGTCTCTCCTCTCTGTCAGCCAGTATTTCAACAGCGTCACAACTGTGCTCTCTCTGGCTTGCACAGGACTCCTTCAGTGTGACTTTGCTTGTAGGGCAAAGAGACAGTTCTTTCTTGGGCACTGGATTGGTGCCTTTGTTTGTGGCCTGAGGTTTCTTCCTTGGGCAGTTCCTCTTCCAGCATCCCCCCAAAATAGGATTTTACTCACCTGACACTCAGTGGCTGAGGCAGTATCTCATTTGCCATCGGGATGAGGTATCTCCATGAAGTCTGAATTAAACTCCCGCAAATTGTTAGGGATTTGCAATTCAGTTATGAATCCAGAGGCAGGTATGTCTTACAGAAGTTCACTGTCCTTCAGTCCTTGTACCTTCCTGTCAGTTCTGCTTGAGAGTAAAGTGTGCCTCAGATTTTGTTTGCTCAGTTTCCAGAGTCACAGCAAACACAGTTTAAAGGAACAGCTTTCTCTTTACCAGATAAGTTAGTACAACTATGCCCTGAACGTCCTTTGCACTGCTTGTGCCAAGGCTTAATGACAGGGGATTGTTAAACCTCCCGTATAAATCTTTAACAACTGGGCGAAACTTCAGTCCGAATCTGCAAACTCAAGTGGAAACAGTAAATAGTATTTGCTTCCATTTTTAAGGCCCACTGGATGAGAAACTGCTCTTGCTTTACATTATTTCCAGCCATTTGAGATGAAAAGACCTACATGTTTATGACTATTTTTAGATTGCCATTTCTTAATTTCATATGTGTTCACATACCTGGGCACTGGGGTAGATACAGCAGAGCCAGCCTGGTTTTATTTTAAGGCTTTTTGGATCAATCCAAATGCCTATGATAATTTTCCCTCTTGAAATAATTTCTTATTGCCAGGCTACTTGCTTGCTGTGATTTGAATGTCCCTCTTCTGGGGGCAACTTAGGCCCTGTGCTTCAAAGGAAGACAAATATTAGTGATTGCTTGGATCAGTGCTATTCCTAGGAGAGAATTTTCCCCTCATACTTGGATAACTCACTTTATATTTTTAAGACTGCATTTGGATTGACTCTTAGAAAAAGCATCACATAGCCTGCTGAATTTGATGCTAATCTTTCCTTTGTTTTTTATTGTCTTTTTGAAGTTCACTGAACTTGCCAAGTGTCTTGTTAATTTCAAAATATTTTAATTGGTCACAACATTATTCTTTTTAAAATGCAGCTGTATGCCCAGCCTACTCCGTGGAAGATGTTCACTGAGTTAAGCTTGGGTTAATCTGAGCTCAAACATAATAGATTCATGGTCACCAGTGTCAATGTCCCTTTACACCAGCTGAAGGTCTGGCCTGGCATAGAGGGCTGCCAGCAATTAATCCTGTAATGATTAATCAAGGTCACCATCAGGCCTGTGCACTCCTGGTCTGAGAGCTGGCAGGACTCAGGAATGAAGGATGCAGTGGAATTTGGGCTCCTCTCTGTTGCAAGAGTTGCCTAGGGTGAATCTAAGCTAGACTTGTATTTCAGACTTGCTCATCTGAATGTCCAAGCACTGCAGAGTACATGAAGCAAGAAATGAAGATTTTATTGCATTTTCCAGTCTTTAAATTACTTCAGTGACTCCTCCTAGGTGGTTTTTTTTTTTTGAATGCTAAATAAATCCTGCTTCTACAATCCTCTTTTTGTATTCAAACCTCACCACCTCTCTTCCTTTGCTTCTCATAGATCATGCCATTCATTTTGTTAACAAAAAGTGTATTTTCTTTTTTCTTCCAAATGGGCAAAGTAAATGGAGAAATGGTGTAATGTGCATAATAGGCAGGCTGTTTTTTGGGTGTTGTCTCTCACAGGGTGAGGAAGCTTCCCTGTGACAAACCCATGACTCACCATGGAGTGCCAGAAGGCTTACAGGTCTGCTATGGGGTAATGCTGTTGCCCTTTGAGTAAAGAGAATTTTTTTTTTTTTTTTTATTTTGTCCAATTTTTTTCCACAAGGTGAAGAAATAAATTGTATTTACTGTGAGAGAGGCAGCAGCAGCAGGATTCTGTGCTTACTCCTCCTGATGGAAATCAAAAGTAATGTAAGTGGAGTCAGTGGAGTGTGAAAGAATACAAACCCAAAGAGTGCCTGCTCCTCATGCCTGTTGTACCTGCAGTTAATAAGGATAGTGAGGTGCTGGTCTCAAATGTGCTCAGAGGCTCTTTTCCCTAATAGAATTGGCATTAAAAGAAAACAGTGGATGTTTTCTCATCCAGTGAACCCTGTTTCTCAAAGAGCTCTGCCATTAGCATTTGCTTCTTACATTCATAATTATTATTACTTTGACTTTTTCTTGTCTTTTTTTTTTTCCTTCCTAGATAGAACAGACTTTTAGTCAAAGCCCAGGATTTATCTTCTGCACCAAAGATATCATGTTCCCCAATGCCTGGAAAGCAGTACATCATGTTTTAACTTAAAATTTGCAGTACTATGTAATTGCTGCTTCACATGATCTGACCCCACAGACCTCTTGATTTGAACTACAGCTGCTTGACAACAGCAGCTACACTGTACAGCATAGCAAAACCACTGAATTACCTGAGCCAGCCTTACCTTTCTAATGATGTTGGGAATCAGGTTTGAGCATTTTGCAAGGGAAATATACATTGGAAATTTTTAATGGACTGCATGTCACTCACTAGATGTACCATTTCTTATTTTCCTGCTAATTTCTTTTCACATATGCTCATGAGCATTAGCTTCTGAATTCTTTTCCTCAGCCTCCATTTACAGCTATTGCCATATCTTTCTTAAGAGGTGGCACCCAAAACTGAACACGGGCCTCCAAATTCAAATGCTCCATTGTTCAGGATTCTGTCATTATATTATCTTCTGCATTATTTTTATATCCTCTTATTAATGCACCCACACACCCCATTTGCATTTTTTAACCTTTTTAAAAACGTTTTCATTACAACAATCAGATATAAGGGCAATGAAGTAAGTGTGGAACAATAGAAGTGAAGATTTTGATCCTCCTCAGACCTAAACCTGTTCTAAACTTCAGTGGTGACACTGACTTTGATTTACACTAAAAGGAAGGAGGAAGGATCAGGCTGTGCATGTCTACAGTGGGACATCAATTTTTGACAGTTAATAAGGAACAGTTTTGTAAAATAGTTTCAGAACACAACATGTTGTTTGGGAAAAGTACATTTTCTTTTATTAGAAGGCAGATAGAGGTCTGTGCTGTGGGCTGGAGGCTGAAGAGCAGTGCTGGAGCCCGGATGCTGGCAGTGGTGTTGGTGGCTGCAGGGAAGCAGCGTGGGGTGCCCGCATGTTGATTGTGGGACTGTCCTGCACAGGCTCTGGGATTCCCTCATTTAACCTCACAGCAGGACTAAGCAGCACATCCTTCATTTTAGGAATAGAATAGAATTAGCCTTTCTAAACTGTTATCTTCTGCACATCCATGTCTGACACTGACTGGTCCTAGAGAATGGATCAAAGGCAGGGCACCCCAGCTGGCTGCAGGGGAATATGTGGAATCTTAGAGAGGAAGAGCTGATAAGGGAAGGTTGGAGGTGGCCAGAGGCAGAGCTACTCTGCCATATGCATGTTGTCACCATAGCCCATGGAACCATTGCCACCACACCAAGCCACACTTGGGACTTCCACTCAGAAGAGATGGACAACCAGTTTTAAGCTGCAGATGGGAAAGGGGATTTCTATTATAGAAATGAGTATTTGTGGGTTGTCTGGCTGCAGAAGCCAAGTGTGTGATTCAGAAAATCACCTGAATAACACTGCTGCTAGCCAGGGAGAAGAAAAAAGTGGAAGAAGTCAATAAAATAATCATTCATGTCTTGCTCCCTGGCAGACTGCACCTCAGCAGCCTCATCAATGTCTTTTGTCCTCCATTAATTGCTTCTGCTTTACTTGACTCTGGATTTTCTCCAGGAGCCACTGTTAAAAGTCAGTATCTGGTGGATGTCAGTGATATTGTCTCTGGAGGGACTTTTCCCCACACTGTTATTTGATTCCAGGCAATGCAGTGAGCTACAAATGCCTTCAGTCTTCTCTTGTGTGCCCCAATTAAGGCCATACTTTACCTGCCCAGTTAGGCAAAGTTCGTAAACATGGGGTGTGGTTTTACAATGCAGCTAATTAGATCCAATGACTAAGTGCTAGTCTGGGTCGAGAGTTTGCTCCTCCTGTCAGCAGCTTCATGCTCCTGCTCCAGCTGCAGATTCTGCTGCTTGATGGATTCTTGCTGATGCAATCCAGGACAGTGACCCAGCAGAAGCGGTTAACTTTTTTTTTTTTTTTTTTTTTTTTTTTTTTTTTTTTTTCTTGGATTAACTTTCTGCCAGTCTCATATCCTCTAGTGGCTTGCCAAGGTAAGATGAGGATTCTTGCTGGCACAGGAAAGGACACAGGGTTGCTCAAGAGAAACAGAGTAATATAGAAGCATTACTTTAATATGGTTGCTCAGCTGATTGGCTGTAAATCCACATCTTTGCAGCTTCCTATCTGGCTTGCACAGATCAACCACAAATGCCATCAAATGAGGAGACTTTTCTTACTCCTTTTCCGTGACTAGCAAGATCTATTCACAGGATTGTTATTCTCATTCTTTCAGATAATTTCAAAGACAAGAAGTGTTAATGGCAGCAATGGAAACTCAGTAGAGAAGAGGGGAAATCATGGGATACAGCAGGAAATGGGATACTGCTGTCATCTCTGACAGCAGTAGCAAAATGTAGTTCTGAAATTATTTGCTTGGGTACTTGCAGCAGCTGCAGGTGCTGCCTCTCAGCCAGCCAGGGCACAGCTGGGAGAAGGGGTACTGCCATCCCTTTCTTCCTCAGGTGTGACCTTGGGTTTATACTCTCCTCCTTGTTCTTGGTTCCCCCCAGTAGCTCCATGCGTGCAGCTGCTGGGATAGTTTGGCCTTGGAACACGTCCACAGAGGCTCTGGGAGCTGCACCTGAATGATCAGCATGTCATTCCTGCATTTCTGCCCGGGCACTCCTGAGTTAACCCGTTTCTTGTCCAGAAAGAACATGTTGATGGATTGGAGGTGTGTGAAGACAAAATGTTAGATTATCACAGCACCATCAGGTGTTAGTTATATCAATTTTGTGGGTTCTTTGGGCAAACTTTCCCAGAGCTCAATAATCTGAGGAAAAGCATTGGGAGTCTACATACTGCGACCAGAGGAACTTTGCCTTCCTCAGCACCAGGGGAGTAGAGGGCCAAGAAATAAGACAGCATGATGAACTGTATAGAACCAACAGCTGTGCCACAGTGTGGCAACCCATGCAGGTAACAACATGCTGCTTAATTACTATGATAATGTAAAACTCTTTCCCTGTTGTTTGTCTGGCTCCCATGGAACCACCCCTTATATGCAAAATAGGTTTGCTATTTAAATGTAAGCTCGTGTTTATATGCCAGCTGTTAGCTTTTCCTGGGGAACCAAGACAGCTGACATTGCTGCCAAAATAAGTAATTTTGCAGGTTGGAGATTAGCTGGTAAGAGTGTGGTGAGCCTCCCTTTTGTCTAATCCAATAGGAGTGCTTTTTTTGTTCTGTTTTTTTTTTGCCTTTTGACGTGACTTCCAGAAGATACAGATTAAAAAAGGTATTTTTTCTTTTCCTTTTTTTTTTCTTTTCGTAACTGTGGACATTGCTAGGAACTAAAAAGATAAATACAACATTTTGTATGTTCAAATAGGAATGCAGTTTGTATATTCCCCCACCAAATATATTTTAAGAAAAATACAGCTGCTTCATGTGATTCCTCTCTCTTGCTAAGAAAAACCTCCACTTTAAGGCACAGGAGCTACTGCCAAGATGAGCCACAACAGTTTGAAAGCAGACCCTGATTGATTGTTTAGGAAAGCATGTACTGGGGTGATGGAAAATCCCCGTGTAAATGTGGTATGACGTTTTTACCACAAGAGAAACTTTCTGTTTCTAGTGTGGTTAAAAAGTTTTGTTCAATTGGCTGCTGGATTAAAGTAATTCCAGTCTTGTGTCTTTGTCAGTTTTGAATTCTGAATGTTTTAATTTGTTTAAGGTTTATTGTTTGACAGTTTTTGCTGATAAAATCTTTCTGACTTTATATAGAGGGTGATTTAGTAGACTAAATAAATGTGTGTTTCTTGGCTTGTTAAGAAATTCCACAGCCTAGATTTAGTGTAGGGTCTGGTCTAAGGGCATAAGAAGGCTGGAGATGGAGCACTCTGATGCTGGGCTTTGGCAGAAATAGGCACAGTCATGCTGCTTAGAAGGGAGGGAAACTTCCATGCAGGAGTGCACTGTGCAGCAATTATTCTAGAAGCAAACTGGATCTTCTATTTCTTAGTCCTATACAACTGGAATATGATGACTTCTGGGACCCCTCTATGCAATATCCCAAGGGAAATTACTTATTTCCTTTTAAGTGATACAAGGAGTATGTTTTGGCATAATGCTTGGTTGACATTATACATTTGGAAAACACTGTAAGTCCAGGTCTGATGCTGAGTAGAAAATTACCAGTCCTGGGTTTTGTGCTTGCCTTGAAAAGGAGAATTTTAGTTGAGTTTTGCACTTGACTCTCTTAGGGTTTTTTGATTGTGTTTTTTTTTTTCCCCCAGACTCTCCCTTAATGAGTTGGATTGTTCTTTTGGGATCTATCTGAAATCATTCAAGAGCAAGCTACCTGCTCCACAGAGTGTAGAGCTCTCTGACAGGGACCAAGGGATCAAATTCAGCATATTACCTCATTTATGTTTGTTTTAAAGGCATGCTGTCATTTCAGCTTGGTTCTGATCATGTCCAGAACAGGTTTTTACAGAAGCTGTGGCCAGTGGAAATGTTATGCTTTTTACTCACTTTTCTTGGAGAGGATTAAAGCAAATAAACATGCAATGGCTCATCCTGCTCCAAGTCTGTGTGAGCTGCCTTGAAGGACAGAAGTGGAAAGAACAAGTACCCTCTTCTGGTGTCTACCAGGACCTTTTCCTTTCTGCCACTTGGGCTACTTCCAGGGACTAAATCCACCATAGATTCACTTGTTGACAACTGTTATTTCTTTTGACTCTTCTGGTGCGCTGGAAACAGTCTCTGCTTTGGAAATCATTACTGCTGTGTAACTTGCAAATGATGAGTAATGGCTTCCTCCAGTTTAACTCCCTCTTCTCTTACTGTTTGCAGTGTGCTCATCTTTCCCTGTCTGCCCAGTCCTGCCCAGAGGTGAGGTACTGGATCTCAGTGCAGCAGCTTCCCTCGTGCCTTGGAGAGGAATTGCAGGTAAACATCAGCCTCCCTGAACATGACACTTTGCAAGGATAAACCTGGAAAATAAATTAAAGACTCCAGGAAATACCAAAACACAGTAGGGGATATTGGCTTAATGGCTACATGATAAATTTCCCTTCTCCTCACTACCTCCTCAGTACCTCTGTCATCCAGAAAGAGGTAACTGGCTATGTTCTCTTCTCTTAAGAAAAAAATTACTACATCCAGTTCCCCTTTCTTACTCCTATAGTTCATGAAAGTACAGCTAATTCTCTCTCCAAGGCTGTTGAGTTGATACTGGTCTGAGCGATTTTTGTCTTCATGTTACAGCTCTCCAGTCTCTTGCTTCTGTTTCAAGCCTTTGTATTCCTAAAAGCTTATATTTTTTTTTTTTCCAATTTAGCTCTTAGTGTTTCAAAAGATATTGCTGTGATCTTTGTCTTGCCCATGTCCTTGGGGTGTCCTGGCTGCAACACTGTTTTCTTCCTTGCAGGTCAGCCAGTGCTATTTCAGTGAGGTTTAGGAACCTGGTAGCATCATGGACACCCTGGCAATGTAGCCTTGGAAGGACTAGCATGTGTGATTTGAATTCCTGCAGTCCTGGAGTATGAACATCGGAACACTCTTTGTATGGCTGTCCAATCAATGATTTGCCAATTTTGCTTCTTTTTTGTTCAGAAGGGTCTAGTTGGTGGGCATGCCTTTGAATACAGGTTAGGGTCAAAAGAAAAATCAATTGCTTTCAGTTGGCTGGACAAGTAACTAAAGCAGCACTATTTTGCTTTCTTTTCATATATATATAATGAACTTAAAGCTTATTTAAAGATCCTACATTTTTGATTCTGTGTGAAACTCACACTGTTATGACTCAAGCTCTGCATAAAAATCCACAAGGAAGAACATAGAAAAGGCTAAATACTGACTGTATGTTTAAAAAAGGATGGGAAAATTTCTTTGCAGGTGGATACATAGCATGTATATATATACATACAGCCATAATACCCACACTGTGTGTGGGGAATGTATGTACAAATGTACATACACACACACACTCACGCAGTACCTCTGTCTGGTCTCTGGATAGATGGAAATGTCACTTGATTCCAGTACTTTCTTTGATTATAGTTGCTGTGTCCAGGAACCTCAGGCTTGTTTCTATGGCAGCTATTCCCAGTTCAGCTATTTCCTCAATCCCCATTTGGCAGTAAGTGGAAGATGTTGTGGCACTTCACAGTGAGCATGTCTCAGAGGGGCTGAGAATGGGGGCAGAGCTGTGTGCAGGTGACAGGCTCAGACAGGAGGGACTCGTGCGCAGCAGGCTGCAGCATGGCCTCCTGTGGCACTGGTCTCTTGACTTTCATTCAAGGGCTTCACGGACCAGCCCAGATTTCTCTCTCTCTCTCTCCTTTTTCTTCTTTATTTTTTTCCCTTTCTTTTCCTTCCCTGTTGCCCTGCTCTGAAGCAGGACTGCATGATCAGGACGGCATAATGAGCAGGAACACTAGGGAACCTGTGCTGCACTAGACAGGCTGACTAATCTCCCTTTAAATAATCTCCCTTTAAATAGTCTGGAAGCACACTGGTGAGTTTCTCTTTCAGGAGCCATAAATAGCCAGATCCATGCTGGTAAGTAGCAAACAGCACAGTTATTTGTTCTAGGAAGGTCTTCCTATTTCCTTCATGTTATTGCATGGATAGCTGTGATCCAGTTCTCTGTAACACTCTGTATGGTAGCAGTGCTGCTGTCTTTCCTCACACTGCTGTATCTTCTGTGACAGTGAGGAGGGAGCAGCTCCTGGGAAATTGGCTTCTCTTTCCAGTGCCTTTGGATCGGAGTTGCAGTGGAGCTGGGGCTTGCTATGGACTGTACAGCTGGCTTTAGGTAGAGCAGTGCAGTTCAGACCCTTCTGAGCAGTGCTGAGTTCAAAAATCTCACTGATATTTATAGCACCTAGAACGTGAAAGCAAGGAATATTTGAACTCTTGCTGCATAGCTATGGATCTGGATAGAGTGGAATATATGGTCCTGTGAGCTAGCTAGCCTTGTGCTTCAGACTTGTCTGGAGGATAAACTATGTTTATGTGTTTTCCTAACTCAGAAATAAATGCTGTTTAAAAAAAAATTACCAAGTTTATGTTAGTTAGGCCGGCTAATATAATTTTCTTAAAGACGGAAGAGTGCAAACCATTCTCCAGGTAGGTACAAGCGCTCTTCAGCTGCCTCCATATCTGGTCCTGAATTATCAAGGCAGACTTCAAGAACATCAGGAGCTAATCCATGTCCAGTAGCTGCTATAGCAGTTTCCGAGATTTTGGTAAATAGGAGAATCCTCAACGAAGAGGGCAGCAAGTCTTGCCTCAGCGAGGTAGGAGGTATTTGAATTTCTTACTCATAGTGTATTGTCATCTTCTTCCTGCTATCCTACCCACTCAATGTGTCAGAGATCTAAGGCTTGATTTTTTAATATTTATTTTTCTTTTTTTTTCTTCCCCACCTTCTCTGCTGAGCATGGAATATCCAAGCCTTCAGTTTCTGGTGCATCATGTGAGAATTTTTCTTTTCCTTTTATCTTTTTCTTTTTTTTCTTTCTTATTTTTCCCCCATCTGCTGAGACACAATTCCCTTAATCTACTGGCTTTTTTACTGAGGTGAGTTGGCTCACTAGTGCAAGACAACAGAGGGCCAAATACGTCTGAGGAGGGGAAGAGAAGATATGTGGGGGCATAGCACAGACCAGTTACACAGAAGCAGCTTCCCTAAATTGTCCCTAATGTTTGCTTTCCTTCATAACATTGCTATTAAATCACTCTAGAGAGGACAAGGTTTCTGCCTGGTCACATCCCAAGTGATGTAACACTATTCAGACTGTTTTTTGATCTTATGGAAGGAGGGGTGTTCTTTTCCTTTCCTTCTTCATGCTCAGTGCTTGCCATCCTCAAACTGGGGCACACCCGGGGCCAGGGATTGCCTCAGTGTGTCATTTATATGGGATTTTAAGCTCATATTTGGCAAAGTGGAAGTTCTGTGCCAAATTTTGGATACAACCTCAACAGAGAAATTAATGGTCTTCTGAGAGAAACTAAAATGTCTTATTATCAACAGTCTTCTGAATTATAGAGTAAACAAGACAAAAAAAAAAAAAAAAAAAACCCAAAAAACCACACAAAACCCCAGCCTGTTCATTTAATTAAAAAGACAAAACAAAGCACAGCTTTTTAATTAACTGTATTTGGTGTACTTAGCTTGCAACACTCCAGTCAGACCAAGCAGGCTGTTCCTGGGGTAAGTTTGGCCTGAGTTCCAGGTACTATGTTATGCCTAGGTTCTCTTTGGAAAAGCAGAAGGAAAATACAAAGCAGAACGTATGCTTCAATGCCCAACAAGTCCCACTGAGCAGAGGGAGCAAAAAGCAGTGGAGTCTGCCCCATGACACTTTGCTGGGTCAAAATGCAGTGTGCTTTGTCCTCTTCCCCCTAGCACAATGGCTGCGTTCCCTGTCCTGGAACAAGAAACATTATTCCGGAACGGTACCTGGAGCTACCGGATTCCAGCCCTGCTCTACCTGCCGCGGTTCAGCATGATCCTGGCCTTTGCTGAGGAGCGAGAGGACCTGGTGGATGAACATGCCAAGCTGATAGCCATGCGCAGAGGCATGTATGACCCAGCCACGCAGCATGTTCAGGTACCAGTGCAGGGAGGAAGCAGGGGACACGGCCCCCTGTTCTGCCCACCTGCCCCCACTGAGTGGAATATATTTGCCCTCTTGCTGTAGGGACGGGGCAGCTTCTCCTCCCCAGGTACAGGACACAAATCTGCCTATAAATAATGCAAGTTTTGTTATAACAGCTGTTGGGGGAACTAAAATGGAGTAAATATTCTAGGGGTGGCTTTGACCCATCATTGCAGAGCAGGGGATGCAGATACAGAGATGGGACAAAAGTCCTGTTGTAGCAGGAAAAATGCGGTGGAGAAGCAGAAATACCTCAAGGAAGAGGAAGAAACGCCACAACAATGGAGAGGAATAAATTAGCGATCAGTGACTATTCTTTTTTTTCTTTTAATTCATCACTTTAGGACTAATTTCTGGTTTAAAAAACAATTGAGAATAGCTAGTCTCTCCATGCAAAAAAAATGTCTGGTTTGCTGGTGCCAGTGAATTGCTTACCTTATTAACCTATCAGTTATTATTAACACTTATGCTGCCGGGTGTCTGGGGGTGGTGAAAACTCTATTTATAATAATTTTTAGCATATGCAAAGGCATGAATGTCTTGGGGAAAAAAAAAGTAATTATATTTTTCTATTCAAACCTTAATTGGTTGTCTTAGATTATAAGCTCTGAAAGAGCTGGAGTCTGCCTAGCAGAAGCAGCCTCTGAGCCCACCTGCAGTGTCATGCCATTCAGGTAACATCTTGTGTAACTCCCTGTTAGTGGTGTTTAGTTGGTCATAAACTTAGTAATTTGTGTTCACATGCTAGAGTTTCTGAAAATGGAAATACTAAATTTTCAATAAAAGTTAATATTAGTTGGATAGAAAAAGATATGAAAAAAAGGCTAATCAGCAAAAGCTAATTAATATAATCTTACTGAAAACTATGCTTTGCTTACCAAGCCAATAACACTATGTAGTCATAGTTTTCTAATTACAATGCCAGTGTTAGAAACATGATTGCATTATGTGCTATTCATTTGAAGAAAACAGGGCTTGCTGGGTAGTTATACCAGCTCTGCGACCTATTTTCTGACTCAGACAGCTCAGAGTCCAAATCTCCACACCAGAGTCACATAATCAACCCTAGAAAGGTGCCACAGTGTAGGCTAGGTTGCCCATTCACATACATTCACATCAAAGTGGAGGAACAGGAGCCCAAATGAACAGGGATTTGTCATCATCCAGGATGCTTGAAAAGGGCTTGGGTTTCTCTGTGACTTCCTAAAAAACATCGACACAGTACAGTGTCTGTACTAGCACGCTTTGATCATTGGGCATGTCTGTGTGCCATATATATATTTGTGAGGATTTCTGAAAATTTAGCCACTGTAGCTTTTTAAAGGGCGTCATCAGCCACCAGCTGCATTGAGATATGGAGCTATCAGTTCCTCAGGGAGTGGTATGGAAAAGGATATAACCCACATGCTTGGTGAAGTGTACGTGCTCCGCATCATCGAAATAATTTTCACTTGCCTTTGGCAATGCCAGATTATTGTCTTCTCATTTCTTGCTCTATCTATTACCCTGCTTCTGTTCTTCCCATGCTCTTCTGTAGCTTTTATCCAGACATTCTTACACCATAATGTAGGTCTCTTTGTAACAGTGTGTTCCATTCTTGTCTCCCTTCACACGGGCTGTGACAGTGGAAAAGGATGGAGACCCTTGTCAGTGCACAGCTTGAAGGCCACCGATCTATGAACCCCTGCCCGGTATATGATGAAGTCTCAGGGAAACTCATCTTGTTCTTCATAGCCGTCCCAGGAAAGATCTCTGAGCAGCATCAGCTGAGGACAAAAATCAACCTGGTACGTCTCTGCTACATCACTAGCATGGACCAAGGACGCACCTGGAGCACTGCCCAGGATATCACCGACAGGACCATTAGGAATGAGTACAAGAACTGGGCCACATTTGCAGTGGGGCCAGGTCATGGATTACAATTGCACAATGAGGCCCGGAGCCTTGTGATTCCTGCCTATGCCTACCGTATCTTGGACCCCAAGCAACACCCCACCCCTCATGCCTTCTGCTTCATCAGCTCTGACCATGGAATAACATGGGAGAAGGGGAACTTTGTGGGGGAGGAGAGTGCAGTGGAGTGCCAGGTAGCAGAGGTTCATACCTGTGGCAGAAAGGTCCTTTACTGTAATGCAAGGAGCAACAGGGGAGCCAGGATCCAGGCTGTCAGCTACAACCATGGGCTGGACTTCGAGGGAGGCCAGCGGGTTGAAATGCTAATAGAACCTCCCTCGGGATGCCATGGAAGTGTTACTGCCTTTCCACCTCCCCTGGATGCCAGATGTCAAGATAGTTGGTTACTCTATGCTCATCCTACAGACCCAAAGGGTCGAAAAGATTTAGGAATTTACCTCAACAAAAGCCCTTTAAATCCAGCACACTGGACAAAACCCAGCATACTCTTCAAGGGCCTGTGTGCTTATTCAGATCTGCAGTACATGGGTGTTGGGCCCGATGGCTCACCTTTGTTCTCCTGCCTCTTTGAATATGGGACTCGCAGACAATGTGAAGAGATTATTTTTGTCATGTTCACTTTGAAGCAAGCCTTTCCTTCAGAACACTGAGTCTCAAGCCTTTCCGTTCTGAGTCTCAAGCCTTTCCATCAGCATCCTTCAGAAAAGCATCTTTGCTGATGCTTTTTATTGTCATTTCTCATTCCGTAGCAAAAGGGTATTCTTTTACTCCTGCTGCACACATAGTTTGGTGTTGGCTTGTTGTGTCTGTAGATTGTGAAGTCCATTAAACATACCACAACGTAACACATTTGGTTTTGTTTTCTATTTTTTTTTTTTTCTCCTCTTTGGCTGCTTTTTTACACATCATATGCCCAAAACAAGTGTGACCTTTGTATAAGGCTTCTCATCTTAAGGTCTCTGATAGACTTCATCAGGGACATGTGTGCTGACAGCGCAGGGATTGCAAGGGAACAAATGGCAGCAGGGTTATACTGAGTGGTATTTACAAAGTTCTGGAGAAACTTCTAGAGAGGGCACTGGGCTTTCTACCCTATGTCTGCTGTCATCTTCCTCAGGAAGCTGCTTTTGCTTTGGTAAGGAGCACTGCTTCTTGCAGCCAGTGTAGGAATGCAGGCACCTGTAATTTCCAGGGCTTTCTGTTTTCTTATTTCAGCAAGGCCATACGATCCCTTGCTCCTGGGATATTCCATGCCAACTTCTTCAGTGGTTTTGGGGCTGTCTTGTTGAGTTCCCAGGCACTCCAGAGGCTTCTGCCTAACTTAACCTTCTCCTTGCTTCCCGTGCTGTGTTTTCTTGCTTACTTGCCCTTTTGCTTACACTGCATTGAGAAGGTGCAGTTTCCCATGTGTAAGAAACCACAGCCTTGTGTGCTCTGGCTGCTTCTCTCCCTGGGCAGTGATAGTAGGAGTCAATGAGAACACCAGGACCCTTCCATGTTGGGGGACAGAGCAAGAGGCAAAAATGGCATTTTGCCTATATGGAAACTGCAGGATCAGGACAGGTCTGCAGAGGGAGCTCCCAATTTAGAGTCAGGAGGGGAAGTGCTTGCTGGTCTTTCTAACACAACTGCCAAGCTATGATACACATAGCAACTATTCTTATTGTTGACAACCCCATGTCTTGTTATTACAGAATATTATTGGCATATGAAGCACTATGTCAAACAAATAACATTGCCCCACTTTCAGCAAAAAACCACCAGTGTCAGAGGAAGGAGAACTGACCAAGCCCAGAGTAACCTAAAACACTCAAGATGGAAGGCTTTCCAATGTAGACAGTTTTTCAGCAGATTTCTGAATGAAACAGCTCTAGTTTTAGTGAGAGAGACTATAGAGTTGTGCTTGCACTGTATATCCCCTCATGGTTTGTCCCTCCATATCTCCTCTTTGTATCTGTTTGGTTCATCCCAACTTTCCCATCAGTACCTGTATGTCAGTCAAACCCCAACCCATCCCCCTGTCTCCCCCCAGGTGATGTGTCCATCACCTGGTGATCCTTCCCCTTTGTCCAGATCCTTCTGGCAGGGTCACCAGGTAACTGGACTATGGCTCTGGGACTCCTCCCCCAGCCCCTCCTCAGTGGTCACGCTGAGGCCTTGCCCCCAGAGAGCCACTCCCGTGTCCTTCCCCCAGTGGCTGCTCATTTCCCCGTTCCCCCCCCCATATCTGGCTGCGCTGGGCGGGGACACTCTCTCTTGCTCTCATGTCCTTCGAGGTCAGGTGTGGTCCGTGATCTCTCCAGACATTCATTAAACTTTGGAACTAATCCTGAGGGAGAGCGCCTCTTTCCTTTGCTTGTGGGACCAGCTCGTCTTTGGACTCACGTGGGAGCTTCTCCAAGCCCCCCGGGATTTAAGGAGAAGTTCCTTCCCTCTGCCCAACTCGCCCCACTGCCCAGCTGGCCGGGGCCCACAGGGGCTCTGTTCCTGTGGATTTGAGGGGGAGACGCAGCAAGAGACACTATTCTACTACTATACAGTGTGTTTTGAAGGAAGGCATTATACAATGATTAGACAAGGGACTGACCAGAAACAAATGGCTACCATTCAAGACACATCAGGGCAGATGGAGCTAGAAAAGTATTACCCATGCCTCTGGACAAAATTCTGCATATGAACCAGTCTGTGCTTGTTTCCTGTGTGTTGTATCCTGCGTGTGTGCACATGTTCAATGACTGCAAGGAAAATGAATGTTTGCCCTCTTGGTGAAGAAAAAGACCTGCTTTTTAGAGGTCTCTCAGAACACATCCCCTTTGGTGAACACTACTAAGTCCCATAGGATCCTTTGCAGTGTCACTGCTCAGGTCTGTGAACCTCTGCTTGCACAGTGCTCCTATCCTTGCCTTTGACTACTCACAGCTTTCATGGATGTTGGGAAAAGAGGCCCTGACTTTCCTCACTATGGAGATTTGTTTCAGGGCACCTGGATGCTGCAGATAACAAGGAAGTGAAGGGATATAGTGACCTTCACAGATACACTGGTACCTTGTCAAGCTTTTTCCAATCAGCAGGTCAGTAACATGCTGGGCTGGAGTAGCAGGGTGGCTCAAGTAGCCAGTACTTTTTGGATATTACTTGTATGGTCTTTAGATGTCAGCCAGAGTCTAAATAACCTTTGTGGCAAACAGCCTGTCACTGATGCCTAATTAGGGAAGCTTCTGCAAAGCTAACTGCTGCCCTATAGATTTAACCTCCTCATCAGGTACTATGGAATACTTTAGTTTCATTACATGGAAATGCTTACTTAAGTTTCTATCTGGCCAAGCCTGGCAGTTACCATGCTGATGCAGTGCACAGGCTGAATATAAATGGGGAGGAGGAATTGGGTGACCACTGTACATCTTGAATGATGCCACAGACGGTATTTATTTATGGTTCTGGAGAGGCTAGTGTGTGGACACCCATCTGGTACAGTACAACCTGGACATCTATAACAAAACCAGGTCAGATAAAGTGTCTATTACAGTGTCTTGGAGATAAGATATTATTCCAAATGAACAAGCCATTAGGGATCACAGATCTGTTTATGTTAGGGGATTGGGATTCACCTTTTGAGCCGCTGGAGCTGTACTGTGTTTTCTTTTAGGACCAAGAAATACTCACAGAAACCAGCCTGTGATGATTGTCACAATCATCATTTGTACTTGGATCCCCTCCCCTTATTTTGGTCTCCAAGTCAAGGACTAGTGTGTGCCTGGACGCAGGATTTGAAGGAAGTAACAGCAGATTGCTAAAAATCTATGTTGGTGGTGGGGTGGATAGACGCTAAGTATGCAGCTGATTAGTCTCAGATGTCTGATGAGGGCTTTTATCTGTTACCTGGTGTTAGTTTGCAGAAGATCAGGAGAAGCTCTCCAAATAGTTTCATTCTATCAAAATTGATGTTGTGAGCAGCTCTGTCCACTCTGCATCCAGATACATGTCTGTTGCATGGAGAGCACTGTGAGGTCAAGCGGTGGTTGACATTCAGAGCTGTTCTGCTTCCTGCTGCAGCTGTGCTCCAGATGAGATACTGAAGGTAGCAGAAATCCCAAGGATTTGGTGCAGGTGAAGTTAGCAGTGCACTGTGGCCAGACAGGGTTGTCAGGGCAGCTGCATGGTGCCTTTGCCATATGCAGACTCTCATTTTGGTTGGGAAAACAGAGTTTGTAAGCACTCTGTAGCCTATAGCTACTGGCAAAGCCACTTCATGGCATTCTGTGTCTTGACTCCATTTAGGCACCCGAATCCATAGGAGTTTGTCTGCTAAGGACCTGTGTGGATGGTGGCGGAGCTGAAGGCCAGGCTCAGCTGAGCTAATTTTTGTGTGCAGGCAGTGCTTGCTCAGCATGGACAGGAAGCCCTGCAAGGTGCAGTTCTGCTCATCTAGCAGGGCCCTGTTCTGGCCGCACAGCTTTGGGGTGCTGCCGCCCACAGTTTCATCTTACTGCAGAGGTTAAGCTGGACACTGGAGACCAAGCCTGCCTTGTTGCTGAAAGCAACAAGAAGGCTTACAGGGATGGATGGGGGGTTGTGCTGGTTCACTCTCCCTCCCCACACTCTCCCCACTCCACACGCACATTCTAGCTTCCCCCTGTGCAGTGACAGTCTCCTGTCTTGCTGTCCATGCAGTGTACAGCACAGCACTTCATGCATAGTCCAGGTACTGCGGTTCCAGCACTTCTTCTGGGTCTGGGAACCGAGGGTTGCATAGGGCTAACAGGGTTTGCACCTTCCCTCTGCCTCTGGACTTTGAGTTTCGGCTCAGCTGTTGCTTTCAGGTATAGCTCAGGATGTGCACAGGGCAGAGTGGTTGGAGGTACAAGATAGACAACCAAAATTGTCGTGCAGGCAGTGCCCCTGTAGGAATGTTCTGGCATTGCTGCAAATATGTCTTGGAGATGCAGCACTAAGCATACCACACAGCGTAGCTGAGGGACAGATGTACAGACAAAGAAAAGGGAAGTGAAAGCTCCAGTTCTGCCCTCTCTGACGCAGGTTGCAGACACAGCTTTGCTCTATCCCACCTTTGGGGATTTAGAGTAGGAAGGATCTTTGAATCCATCTCACAGTAGCTGAGAGAGACCTTTGGTCAAAAATCCCCAGCACAAATCAGCCTTTCAGTCTGCTGCTATGCATGGAGACATGCAGTACTTATTTTATTTTTTTCAGTTCTTTGAAGTTCCCTCCTCACACTTAGTTAGATAGGACTAATCAAGGCAGGAATGGGGCAGTCAGTGCGTATCCTAATGCACAGTGTGCTTCTGATCAGAGATTTATTTATTCCCCATGGAGATCTGTAGTGGGTAGGACAGAGAGACAGGAAAAAGATCAAAACTCAAAGGATCTGGCAGGAGATCGTAAATTGGACAGCAGGTCACCAAAGCCTGGGGGACTGAATCTGTAAGGGAACAGAAGAGATCGCCAGCTGGGACTTTTGGACTCAAACAGGAGGGAAAGGCAGGGAACGTGGGCTTGCTAGTCACTTCAGTGGCAGCATGAAGAGGGAGAGTGGGGGCTGCAGGGATATGTCACACTCACTCTCTGAGCTGTTTGAGTTGAGGAAGTTGTCCGTGGCTGAGTTTCCTTTCCCTCTCTGAGCTATTGAAACAGGAAGCTGGTGAGCCGAAGCTGGCTGATCGTTACACACAGGCACACAGGCAGCTCTGGCAGCTCCTGTGTTGGCATTCAGGTTTCTTCCAGCTCCAGCAATGGATCAGTGCTGGTACCACGGCAACATCACTCGCTCCAGAGCTGAAGACCTGCTCTCCAAAGTAGGCAAGGACGGCAGCTTCCTTGTGCGGGCCAGTGAGTCAATTGCTTCAGCATATGCACTCTGCGTGCTGTAAGTACAGCGTTCACCGCGCCCTCAGCCCACGCTGCTGTCCCTGCTGGGCAGGGGTCACTCCTGTCTCCTGCCCAGCACAGGGGCAAACAGGTGCTGTACTCACTGGGAATGTGCAGCCCTTCTCAGAGCACCGCTGGTTTCACCAGACTGGGCCAATGGGGTGGGGAAAGGTTAAGAGCCAGGCTGAATAAACCCATAGTTTATATACTGCTGTACTGCTCATGCTGCTCTTGCCCCTGATTCAAAAGGAGAGAATGGTCAAAGGCACTGTTGCGGTGCTCTGAGAGAAAGTAACCTCTTGAACTTCTGGAGTGTCTTAACAACTTGGGTCAAATATTTGTCTTTAGTGACCTCAGTCCTGAGCCTGGGACCTCCCAGGCACTTTTTTTGCTCTGGTTCAGTGTGTGTTTGAGCTCCCTGCTTGTACTGCGTTGCATTCAGCAAAAGGCTTGAAATAGTTCCTGGAGCTGTGCATAGTATAGCCAGCAAAGCAGTGATTCCACCTGCGTCATTAATGTGGGTCGTGGGGTAAACGTTTCATGTGGGGAATAGGGAGAGAAGTGCTGGCAGCCCTGATCCCCTCATTCTGGGTTAGGTCAGGAACCAGAGAGCAAGGCTTCCTGCCCTGGGTTTGTAAGAGGCAGGCTTTTTTCCCTGAGGCAGGAGAGCAGGGGTGAGAGGAGACTGAAGTCAATAGGTAAAATCTGAGACATTTAACTTTGTCTTACAGAGAGGTCCAACAGTTATTTCTTGCTTAGGAGTGATCAAGAGAGCCCATGTGGGATCCTATCAGATCCTCTTTGCTGCCATTTTGCAGCAGATCAATGAAACTCATTTAATCTTTATCCCATGTTACATTACAAGCAGGTTTCTCATTTTCTGTCTGAAAGTATATGTTTTGTGGTGATGAAGGTGGTGCTGCTGCTGTTTATAACTCTGGGCTAACTGCTTGTCTCTGAGGTCAGATTGTGGTGACAGCACTGTCGGCTGCCGAGTGCAATGGGGCTGGGTAACTGCCCCATGGGCGTGGGTGTTGGACTGCCAGGGAGTGGTGGCTTGAGAGTGGGCATCTTCACAAGGCACAGAGAGCCTTGGTGCCTGCCTGTTAAGGTGCTTGAAACAACACAGGGAAGAGTTTTTTCTTTCTGGAAGGAGCAGAGAAAGAAGGGCAGCTGCAGATGAATAACCAGTACTAGCAGGAAGGAGGAGAGAAAATCCTGTAACAGGGGCTGAGGGCCCAACTGGTCAGTCAGGGAACGATTTACTAGAGCAGACTGTTGCTTCCATTGAGTGATTTTAGTATTACCCTGTTGATTTGACTTGTAACCAGTATGTACACAAAATATTTTCACCAAGCGATGGTGGGGATTATAGAACGGGAAGGTGCTGCAAAAAGGCCTCCTAACACGCATTTGCATAAGTTTTTCCATTGTAAATGTTTATGCAGCCAGCTCTGAAAGCCTTTTGTGACTTGAGAGACATGGGATCAGGAAATAGAAACAATATAATGACCATGATTTTCTGAACCGGGAGCCAAAGGTTATATTCTTAAGTCCATTCTGAGGTAGCTAATATGAACGGCTTGACTAAAGAATTAGGAAGCACCCAGCCTTGCCAGCCAAGAGCAGCTGGATCAGACATGTGAAGCGCTGGCATTAATTACAGTCTGGGAAACATCACACAGACTGCTGTCAAACGATCTGACAAGCTTTCAGCTTATGCTGGCTTGCAGTTAGTTTGTGGAGAGGTGGTGAATAAGTCTTTCCCTCTGAATGTCATCTCCACAAAATGGGGACCTTTGCTGAAGCTGAAAACTTCCTCAGAGATGTATCAGTTTCAGTTGTGCTGTTGACTGGGAGGTGTTTGAAGTTTGAGCTCTTCAGTTACTTCTGTTGAAAAAATAGAGAGGCTGGAGACAAAGAATGGGAGAGTGGGGAATTGAAAGGCTGACTGCAAATTATTTCCACAAAGGAGAATTATGTTGAAAAGGAGCAGGTGTCAACTGTGTATACATATGGAAAACAAAAAAACATGAAATTTGCTCTGAAAAAGAAATGTCATATTCTACAAAGCTCTAATATTTATTGGGCAGATCAATTAAGATCCAGCAAAAGCATTTATTATTATAATATCATAGAATAAAATAATAATTTCATTGAAGAGCTGCTCTAGAAAAACAGGGCTTTAGAAAAACAGAAAAGAGCTGCTTTAGAAAAAAAAATTATATTTGTGTAAGTATAGACAAGTAGGGAAGGTGTATTTGGAGAACCTTTTAAGAGTGCCTTGCCTCCTTTTCTGAAACTTAGAGCAGCAGCATTTAGAGAGTGAAAGACTGGAGAATGCTCCTCCCCCTGCACAGCTGTCCCCTGCTCTGGTCACGCTGCCCCATAAAAGGCAAGAAGCAAAGCCCTTTTCCTCCTCCTTTATCTGTGCCTAAATAATTTGATCTGTCAGTTTATTGACAAGAAATGGATTCTTTTACTCACCTGGAGGGGAATGCCTGAATCCTGAAATCCAAGAGCCTACTTAGAGGCTGCACCTGAACTGGTACTGTTCCTTCAGGGTATCTTCAGTTGGCAGTTAATCCATGAATGGCTGCAGGACTAACAACACTTCTAGAGGGGACACTCAAGGACCAGCTGCAGTTTTGGGATCCATCTAAGAGGACCCTACCTGTGAGATGTCCTTTTCAATGCTGTGTCTCTCTCATGATGCACTTTGCACATGGCACCAGGCCTAGCACAGTGGCCCTGATCAGTGCTGCAGACACTCCCAATATGCAGATCATCACCTGTGCATAAAAACATATAGCAGGAGAGGAAGGAGAAAATGCCTGCCTAGTCACACTGTTACCTGCTCTGGTTGGTTGAAAGGACAGAGAGATGACAAGTACTTGGAGACTTGTTTAAGCTGTGGCTGATGTTTTATTTACCCTCCACATGGACAGCCTGAACAATGGCTGAACAATTTGGAACTCAGCCCAGCTTTTAGGAGGACCTAGAATGTGATGGTAACTGGGACCATGTAACTTGACAGTCAGGATGCCGAGGAGAGGAAGCCTAAGGGTAAAAATGGAGTAAGAATCCTGGTCTTCTCCGTGCACATGCACTAAATTAGGGGACTGGCAAGGAGGATTCCTCCTTTGATCCTAGGAGTGTTCCTCCCTTCTCCTGTCTCACCCAACCACCCTTCTTTCATTATTCTTATACTGATGTTACTGGTCCTCAGCCTAAACCTCTTTACAAATATTATGAGAGCAGCCTTGAATGGTCTGTGTGATGGGTCACTTTCTGTGAAGGCCACATGAGGGTCCTCTTGTGAGCAAGAGCCATTGAGCTGCTTCATTTATCAATTTCATAATCTCCCCACACACAAATTGTCTCTGCTGTATAAATAATTTTGCTTAGCTCTGTTTGAATATCAGCAGGAGTAAATGGTGTAAGAGAGCTGCACTGACACATAAAAACAAATCCCATACACTTCCTTGGCTCATATCCTCACCTGGCACTGATTGCCCTGGTATTGGAATTAGAAGTGCTGTAGCTATCCTACTGTTGGGGATCATGTATGTGACTTCCAGCTCTGTACCAGATGTGAATAAATAGATGCCTGTGAAATGAGCTCTAAAACCAGCTTGAATTCTTCTGTGTCTTTTGCATTAATGATATCAAAAGACACACGTTCATGTGGATACATGACCCAGTCCTCCAGACATCCTGGAAAAACTCAGCTATGATCTACGAGGAATTTATTTTCATTTCCAATGTCTCTTTGTGACTCCTCGTGTAACGCTGCCTGAAATCCTGGTAGTCTTCTCTCTCCTGTGTGGAATGATTTTGAAAGGCGTATGGGGAATAGACTAACATCACAACTCTAAGAGAGATTAGGATGTTTATTGATTTGCCTGATCTCCCCAGCTGGAGGGCTGTCCTCAGCCCACATTTTGTGACAATTCTACAGATAGTGCAGTGTTTCTGTTACAAACCAAGGAAGATCTGAGTGTGGATTCTGTTCTTTCTTTTGAGAAGGAAGGGCTTGAACCTGCAACTTTTGGTGGCTCAAAGTGGTATTGTATCTTCTAAGTGCTTTGCAGATGACTTAAAAGATTTGATCAATCTTTTGTTGTTAGAAAGGCAAAAATATATTTTCTAGTCAATAGTTCTTGGGTGAACTGCACAAAGCTCAGCAACTGCTGAGGGAGGTCAAGCTTACAGTGCTCTTCAGGCTCCCGTGCATCGATGTGGCCCTCCACTGAACACAAGACTCCTCCAGCCTCCCTTAAATAAGTATCTAATTGAATTTAGCTGGGACAAAGTATTTGTTGTGGGTGCCCTACAGATGTGCATGTACAGTGTCCATCCACACCAGGTGAGATGGGTTTTCATTTAAACTCTTGTTTAGGATTTGTAGATAAAAATGTGCATGGCAATCAGCTGTTGTACTGTGATTTCGCTGAAATATATTATTTGCTTTTTCCAATGCAAGTCAATGCACTAGCCCTTCAGTTTACTCATTTATTGCTGATTTTGGCCCTTTGCCTTTGGGATTTCTGCTTTTTCATTTCTTCCTGAGATGCCTGCTCTACTGACAGCTAGAGCCACTTGGTGTTTTCTCTCTTTACGGCCAGAAGAAGAGTGGAATAACTCCCTTTGAGCTAATGCTGATAGGACTTTCTGCAGTGACATCTGCAAGCAGATGTTCCTGTTTCAGTGACCAGGAGCACTTCAGCTTTGTGTTTGTCTACAGACTCCAGGAAAAGAAAGTAAGAAAGAGAAATGGTTTAAAACCCTTGTGCATGAAGCAATCTGTATGTCTCAGGATTTTCCAATGTCTTTTCTCACAGAGAGGGATGCCATAGTGAGATTCCCTTCTGGTCATGGTCTAACCTTATCACCTGTGGTCTGTTCCAGGTACCGGAATTGTGTTTATACCTACCGAATATTGCCTGATAAAGAAAAGAAACTAATTGTCCAGGTAAGCCATCTCTGTACTATTTGGTCCCACAAAAATGTATTTGAGAATTGCTGTTTTTCAAAGTAATTCTAACATCAACAGGAAAAAAAAAAAAAAGATATAAGGAATTAAACTAATGTCAGGCCAGCACAGTGCTGGTCTCCACTCCACTACTGTGGAGATTTCAGTTTTTGGTCCAGTCTATGGCTGTGGCCATTGGCACTCTCTTTAACACACATGCCTTCAATTCCTGGTGGCACAGCCATGTTTTATGTAACTGAGAAGCTCAGCATGTGGAATAACTTTTCCTCTGAAGCCTACTTCTTATCAATGCTTATCAATTCTTATCAAAAGATCATGTATCTTTTCAATCCAAAGTTGTAGCACAGTTGCCTACTCCTAGAGAATGTAAATTGACTTCTGGTCTCAGGATCCAGAAAGTACCAAGACTGAGGGCAGGAATTTCCGATGTTCTGTTTATTCCTATTTTGATTTAGGAGCCTAAATGAGCCACTTCCCCTTCCGGTGCCACTTCCCCTTCCAGTGCCACCTTTCAGCCCCTATTATTTAACATAAATCATGAAACTTGGGGTGGGGAGGGAGGCATGGACTTCTACAGCCCCAAGAATTGGGCATGGTTTACTGGGCTACAATGAGGGCTGCAGCTGACCCATGGTCTTGGCACAGTCAGTGCTGCATGGGCATTCCCTGCTAAAGAGAATGGAAATGCCCAGGCTACCCAGTCTGCCTTGCTATTCAGAGTGGTTCTGCAATAGTTCCTTCCATTTCAGTTGACAGCTAGCTTCCCATACTATAAACCAGATTTCTACCAACTTCATGCACAGCTTATACGTCTCTCATGTACCATGTTAGTTGTGTATTTCTTCATGTGCTTTGGGGTTATCAGTGTTTCTTTGAGATCTCCACTAAGAGGCAGCATATCTGAAACTAAAGTCATGGCCCAGGGAGAACAGCTGCATGCTGGCAGCTTGCTTGCAGCTGTGGCCTTTGGTAAGAATGGTGGATTGTGTGTCCTGGGTGCACAGATCCAGCTTGGATCCTTCAAGAACTAATTCTGGGTATCTCAGGCTGTTCTCAGGAGCCCCACTCAGATGCAGCCCTGCACAGACACAGCTGTATTGCCTGCAAGGCTAACTCCAGGCTCTCGGTCCTGTGCTCCAGAGGATTATGGCCCCGTCGCCTCGACAGCTGGATTCCCCAGAGCCATTGAGATTCCTCTGCCTCACTTGCACTTCTGTTTCTGAGGAGGAACTGGCAGCAGGAGTCTATACTGGACATGACCTGGGTCTGTAGTTTTACTATGGCATGTCACCAGAGTTCATCCCTCTTCATGAAGCACTGGCTGACACTGTACAAAGGAACTTGTGCAGGCTCAGCCAGGTGAAAGCCTGGGACCAGACCCTATCTGGAACCAATAACTTGCCATTCCCACCTGGCTCCACACACTGTGCTGTAGGCTCTTTGTAGTGATACTTGATATTCCCCTATCTTGTGATATATCCCAGCTATTCAGACCTAAAGCATGTGTTTTGGTGCATTGTGCTGGTGTGATGTGGTGGTGGTAAGAGCCCAGAAGGTAATATGGTGTTTATCTTTGACAGTACCCAGAGCAGCTGCAGAGCTGGGGTCTCACTGTGCCAGAGAGCTCACAGATGGAGCCCCACAGGCAGGGAGAGTGCTGGGGGACACCTGAGGCCCAGGCAATGGGCACAGCTATCTATGTCCCACACCACTTCTGTGTTACAGCTAGCATGGGACCCTAGCAGTGCTAATGGTGTCCTTGCTCTTTGCACTGGCAACAGTATGATGAAGGGAACTTGTGGAACTCTAATGCTGAATAACTTTGTGGTATGAGTTTGACAGGTGCTTTGTCTTTTAGAAAACAAGCACAGAAATGATCCTATGTTGGGTTTTTCCCTGTGGGAGAGAAAGAAAAGCAGGCCAGAGGGTATCTGCAAAGGCAGCAACACAGCCCCACACTTTGTCCCTCTGTGCCCTGGGCAAGCTGTGCCCCCTTTTTGTCCCTCAGCTGCCCTGATGGCATCATTTGAGAAACACTGAACATGCAGCATGGCCTGCAGCCTGTTCTAGCAGGACACTGATGCCATGAGTGACAGGAGAGTTTGAAACCTGAACAGAGAGCAATGTACCTGTGTGCAGCTACTATCTGGAGAGTGCTGGGGTGCACAGGCTGCTCACAGCACCTGCCAGGGAAGGTCTGTGCAGGGAGTTCTGTGCATTACCATCCAGGAATATGTGAGTTGGGCTTCCCAATTTGTACTGGATCCAGGATTGTTTCTGTTGTGACAAAGGGCCTGTTTTCAGTACAACTCTCGTCTGCAGAGTTGTACAGTGCTCAGAGCACTGCAGCCTTAAGAAATCTTTATTTCTCTGTGCTGTAGCAATGGGCAGCTCTCCTGCTGGATCAAGGTTTATGAACAAGAAATTTGTGAGATTATCTTGGGTCCCATGTTGTGATTGCAAGGGATTGCTCTTGTTCTTATGTCACAGATTGCAGAGGGAGTGTGGTGGAGTACCTTTGTAAGCTGGGTTGCCAGGAGCTGTAGGTTGAATATCAGGAGTAGGCTAAATAAAGTGTGTTGTTAACTCATGTTTTGAAGACATGACACCTCCTGCTTTCTGCTGCCTTATGCCAGTTCTGAGGTAGAGGCAAATGAAGGGGGCTGCCTTCTTCCGGCAAGAGAAAGATGCAATGAGAGTTATAATTAGGGCTCAGAGGGAAAACAGTCCTGTGTTCTTGGCTGCTGTTGTTGGTACAGTGTTCCAGCTGAGCCAGGCTTTTTTTTAGTCTATATGGTTTTTTGGATAAACCAAAAACTACTTCATGTGTCTTAAAAGTCCGGATTTTTGAAAAATTACTTCTTTGCAAGGATCTAAAAGCTGTTGAATAGGATGGAACGTGGACATTAAAAAAAATCCCATTAATAAAGGAAAGGGTCTACTAATCCTGTGGAACTAGATCGGGTATTAAATCAATATAGCAATCAGTAGATGCTTCTCATTTCTAGGTTTATAAAAATTATTTAGGAAAGACTCAATACTCAATCTTGAGATTAGCCTGCATTGATTACAAATATGAGCCCTGATTATCAACGTGACCTTTTTTTTTTTTTTACCTGCACAGTGCTTCTTCCTAAAAAAAGTGCTGTCTTCCTGCCCAGATCTGGACTGTTGTCTGTCAGGAATTTTTCTTGATGACAGCAGGTTTAGAAGATCTGTCATATCACAGCTACATACACAGTGCATGTGATATGACAGCTCTCCCTCTGCCACTCTGTGGAGTTTTTTCACCCTTAAAGTGCAAGGTGAATCACTTTTTTTGTTAAGTCTGGGAGAGTACATTTGATTTTTCTCAAGCCTGGTCCCACCCTAATGGAATGATAGTGTCATTTTTTTTTGCATGGTTAAATTAACTGTTCAAGGACAGGTGGCAGAAAGGGAAGTACACATTTTTGCATGCAAAGGTGCACTTTTGCATTCAGACTGAATTAAAAAATATTGGCCTATGTCCTTCCAGTGTTTCGTGGTATAGTTTGTGATCTGCCATTAGGATTCTACATCTGCAGCACCTCTACAGCAGTTAGCATGGTCGTGAATCTCTCTTGCCTGCTATATCTGGAATTCATCTGGTGTCCTCCCAAAGCATAGTGAGCTGTAGAGGTCACTGTAACAGGCAGCTTTCTTTAAACACAAATAGAATTTTTGCCTTTCTTTTCTGATTCATTTTCTCCTTTCATTACTTGAGACTTCAGAATATATGAAAGCATGGCTTGGATGAATCAAACTTGCATCCTGCTGATGAAAACATTTAAGGAAGGAGGGTAAGGGTAATGAAAGCCCCTTGAAACAGAGGATCTGTAGCAACAAATAGAGATCTTTAGTCTGAGTCATCAAGATAGTCAAGATATCCCTGCTAGTTTACAAACTCTTGCTGCAATAAGAGAAAACAGGAAGACAGCAAAAAACCACAGTTACACAGAAATCCAGGAGCAGGGGCAGGAGGCTGGAAATAACTGCCCCTGAGTGAGCTCAGCTGCTGCCTGCCTGTGGGCAAGTCACAGCTGGGGTACTTCACTTTCTTCTCTGTGAAAACAAATATGATTTTCCCTTGCTCCACTGGGGAGATATAATGAATGTGTAGTTATTGAATGTTTGGAGACTAGCTAAGTGTAATCATGTTTGTGCAAAGAGGGGTGAAGCAGCAAAGGAGTCCTTGGGCATCACAGGACCAAACTAAACACCAAAGACAAACTAAAGACACTACAATTGCCTTTCTCAACTAGACATCTATGGTCAGTTCTTGCCATCCAGATTCACAGAAGATATAACTTTCCTGTGCTGTCACTGAAAACATCTCATTTATTCAACTGGCTGAGGTGTCAATATGACCCTCATCACTGCCCACTCTGCATTCCTTATGACCTTAGCATCCCCTCAACAAATGGGGAACTTGGCCCAGTCAAGGATTGGGTTACTGAGAATAATTTTAAACATCGACCCCTGGCTGCCCTTACCAGGATCAGAGGATGTGTGTGATACATCAGTATTCATCCCCCCTCATTTTGGATGTACAGTCAAAGCTGAGTTGTATCTATAGTCAGCAGGAAATCAGTTTCTCATCTGGGTGGGCTGAGCTGTCCTTGACAGGTCCTGTCTCTGTTGCCTAAAAAATAACCCCCTTAAACTGCCAACCTTGGCAGGCTGCAGTCAGGTGAGGATGTTCCCAGTACAACTGACTCTTGTTCCATGTGAGAAGGTGCTGAGGTCAAGAGCTGCTGTTGAAAACTGTGGCACTACCCTTGCCTAATACTTTACCCTCTATTGCCTTTATATACTTCTCCTTCAAAGGGTCACTGCCAAGAATATAACCTGCCTCATGAGTGAGGATGCTTGAAAGAGGTGCTGAGAAGGAGCAAGACACTGGTCTTGGCTGGTCAGTGAATAGGGATTGGAACAGGGTAAAGTGGACTTTGATATCC